TAATCAGCTGACAGTCTTTTGGGAGCTCTCTTGTATGTAACTACCTGTTTTTCCTTGCTATTTTTAAGATTCTCTTTGTCTTTAACCTTTGGCATTTTAATTATGATGTGTCTTGCATTGAGCCTCTTTGGGTTCATGTTTGGGAGTTTCTGTGCTTATTGGACTTGCATGTCTATTTCCTTCAGCAAATTAGGGAAATTTTAAGTCGTTATTTGTTCAGGTAGGTTTTCAATCCCATGCGTGCGCTCTTTTCCTCCAGGTGCCCTATGATGTGAATGTTGGTACACTTGATAGTGTCCCAGAGGTTTCTTAAACTAGCCTCGTTTTTTAAAATCTGTTTTTCTTTGTGCTTTTCCTTTTGCTTTTCCAGTTGGGTGTTTTCAGCTACCTTGTCTTGCAGATCACTGATATGATCTTCCGCTGCATCTGGTCATCTGTTTAGTCCCTCTAATGTAGCCTTCATTTGTTATTGTATTTTACATTTCTGACTTTTTTATGGTTTCTCTCTGTGTTGAGGTTCTCACTGAGTTCGTCTATTCTTCCCTAGGTTCATTGAGCATCCTTATTGCCAGTGTTTTGAGCTCAGTGTCTGGTAGGTTGTCTTCATTTTGTTTAGTTCTTTTTCTGGCGTTTTGTCCTGGTCTTTCACTTGCAACGTGTTTCTTTGTTTCCTTGTTTTGGCTGGCTCCTTGTGTTTGTTTCTGTGTTAGGTAGATCTGCTACATCTCTCAGGCTTGGTAGGGTGGCCTTACGTAGTAGGTGTCCTGCAGGGCCAAGTGGCACATTCTCTCTGGTCACCTGCGCCTGGTGCTTCAGGAGTGTGGCTTGTGTGTGCCCTCCTGTCGTAGTTGAGCCTTGGCTGCTGTTGGCACAGCGGTGGGTGTGATTGACCCTCAAGCTGGCTGGCTGTGAGGGGCTGCTACGAGTGTAGCCGCGAAGCCGTTGCGGGCAGGCTGACCCCGTGGGCAGGAGCCACTTTCACCAGGGCTCTGGTGCCTTTCGAGTGTCATTGTGGAGCTGGTTGGGTGGTGCTCTGGTGTAGTCCGGAGCCAGCCTCTGGGCCTGCAGGTTCTAGGGGCTCTTGGGAGGGGTGCTGGTGCAGGCCCAGGTCGGCCGCCATTTGTGCCTGGCCTGAGGCCACCTGGTGGGTGCGACAGACTGATCTGTGGTCGGCTGCTGCTTGTGCTGTTCTTGGAGGTACCTGTGAGAGGCTGTGCTGCGAGGCAGGCGGAGCCGCTGCTAGTGCTGGGCGTGGGGCCCTCTGGTTGGCACCACCATGTTTGCTGAGGCCACCCGCCATTTGTACCAGTCAGGTTTGTGGCTGCTTGGCTGAAGTTTCGTTCCAGGCCAGCACTAGCTTGCACTTATGCCAGGCTGGGAGCTAGTTTATGGGAATTACAATGCATGTTAATATTGGCTGCCACTTGTGCCAAGTTTGGGGTCACTTAGTTAGACATAGTATAGCATAGGGAATATGGTCAATAATATTGTAATATCTATGTACAGTACCAGGTGGGTACAGGAAATACCATGGGGAACACTTTGTAAAGTATATAATTGTCTAACTATTGTGTTGGCCAAAAAGCCTGTTTAGTTTTTTCTGTAAAATAAAGGACACATTTTTCATTGTCACCAATAATTTTTATTGATTTGGATATTTTGAGTAAGTTGGCTGTCTCCCGCTATTGGCTTCTAGTGGGTAGAGGCCCGGGGTGCTGCGTAACACCTTCCAAGGCACAAGGCAGCCCCACAGCACAGAATTATTTGGCCAAAATGTCAACAGTACCAAGAAACTTCGCAAACCACTTTTGACACGTTCAATCAGTCACAGCACCTTCTCCATACACAGCACAAAGCTTGCTTGCTTGCTTGCTTGATTTTGCATTTTAGTTGTGTTTTACCTTTCTTGAGATAATAAAGCATAATATGCCAAAAATGATGCATTATTTTCTTCCATTTTCAATATTAAAATGAGTGCACAAAAATTCACCCATTTGGTAAGTTTTTTTTTTTAAATGCACACTGATATGAGAGCTGTCACAATGCAATCTAATAAAATTGTTTCAAATGAAGTTAAAGATAACTAAGCACTACTAAAGCCATTGTAAGGAAAAAATGTAAGACTTTTTGGCCAACCCAGTACTATGCTCTACACTGGAAACTAATTATGGTAATATAGAATATTTAAAAAAAAAAGTAATGGCCAGTCATTACATGTTTGGTGTTTGTGGACCTTTGAGGTGTGTTAGGAAAGTTCACAGGGAGGGCTGAGGCAGGCTGCCGGCGGGGAAGAGTGGTGGGGGCCAGGTGTGAGTAGGGTGGGGCGGGCCTCGGAATCGCCAGGGCGGGCAGATATTGTTGGGCAGGCTGATGCAGCATTCAGATTTGGCACCTCTTGCACCTGCCGAGTGAGGGGAGGGCTCGGAGAAGGAGTAGCGGTCGCTCCTGCCAGTGCGTCCATCCTCACCCGGATGCCAGACAACTCCATTCCTCCCTACGTGTTCCTGTGGTCTCCCAGCTCCCGCGCCTGCACCGCGCCCGCACTGTGCCCAGAGCGAGCGAGTCTGCAAGCCAGCGGGTTTGTGCTTGGGCTCCTCAAGAGGAACATCCAGGCCTCCAGCAGCCCCTTGTGTGTTTTGTTTTTGTTTTTAAGATTTTATTTATTATTTAGGGAGGGAAAAACAGAGGGAGAGAGAAACATTAATGTGCAATAGAAACATTGATCGGTTAGTTGCTTCTTGCCTGGGAACCTGGCCCACAACCCAGGCATGTGCCCTGGCCCGGAATTGAATCAGCAGCCTTCCGGGTTGTGGGACGATGCTCAAACCACCGAGACACACCTCAGGGCCAGCAGCCTCTTAACTTTCTCAGATGCAGTCCCCTCTGGTTTTCACAGCCACATTATGGGGTTTCCTCTTCCCAGCACTAAAGCCCTGGCGTAGGGAGCCAGGTGTGGGCTGGGACCCCTCACTCCTCAGAGGGGACCTTCACAGCCAAGGTCCCCCCCACTCCCGCTTTCTTAATTGCTACAGTTTGTGAGGGGGGTGTCTCTACCTTGCCCATCAATCTCAATGTGGCCTCTTTATAGCCATAATGAAAGGACTTCTGTTCAGCTAGTCTGCAGGTGTTTTTTATTTTAACAAGTGAAAGTGTTTAGAAAGTAACAGGTAGAAGAGGTGAGCCAGCCGGGCTGTGTGGCTCAGGAAACAAGTTATAGGGGCAAAAGGAGGGACCTTGAAGCTTTGGAGAAAGCAAAGCAAAGCTACAGACTTTGAGAGAAGAAAAGAGGGAGAGGCGCCAGCGCACCCGGCGAGAGCGCCGCCTGCAGGTGGTTCCTGATGGTTCCGTAGTTCAGTTGTGATACTAATGTGGTTACGGCAGGAGGCGAGCACAGCATTTACTTACTCCGCCATCTCTACCGGAGTCTGAATCTTAATTTTGCACCTTTCATATTTCCCATTTGTTAAAGAAAGTGGGCGAGGGGCAATTTGGTTGAAGTACCTCTTTTTAAACAATTTTACTGAGCAGTGACTCACATACTGTATAGTTCATCCATTTAAAGTTTACATGTCAGTGGTTTTTAATATATTCACAGATGTATGTATCCATTGCCACAATTTTATTTTGGGGGTACTTTGAGTTTTTATTGGATTATAATTGGACTAAAAGAGGGTGGGGGGTTGCTGTTGTGTGGCCCCTGGGCTGTTGGCGTTGTAACACAGGAGGGTTCGCGAGGTTTTGCAAAAGCTGCAGTTTGCTCCAGTGTTGTCTTTTGCCAGTGGTTGTTGGGGGGGGCGGGGGGGGCCAGGGAGTGGCGGGGGGGGACGGACACCTGTTAATCACATTCTGCTCTCGCTTTTCTAGTAGTTTTCCAGGCCTGGAAAGACTGCCATGAACCATGTTGTCAGAGCAAGGTAGCAGGCCTTTTCTCCAAGGGACCCTTACTGGCTTTGAAAGTCAGTCTTAATTTCTTAAAGCTTTCTCGTGACATCCAGAGTCCAGGCATGACTCACCCGCTGGCGGGGTAGGGTGAGGAGAAGGCTGTCGGCGGAGTCCAGAGAGACGGGAGGGTTAGCATCCCCTTCCCAAACCTCGCGGGGACAGGGTTATAGGCTAAGCCTGGGACGCGTGTCCGCTGCCCGCTGCTCCCCCAGCCGCAAGTCTCATGAGGCAGAGGAGGGGGAGAAATAGAGAATGTCTCCGTGCGGGCCACCAAACTGTTAGACTGGTGACATGGGCTGTGAAAGAATTCGCGAAAAGTGAAGGCAGAGAGCGAAGTTTTATTCACTTTTCAAGAGGGGAGTGGGGTATGGCGTAGGGAGCTGCAGCAGCCCATTGCCGCAGTTTTAGGTCGTTTTTCATCACCTCAAAAAGAAACCCTGTATCACTTAAGTAACACATTTTTGTCCCTTGTGATATCCCCAGCCCTAAGTACCTATGAATCTACTTTCTTTCTCTAGAGATTTGCCTACTCTGGACATTTCACATAAATGGAATCATACAATATGGTTTATGGTGACTGGCTTTTTTCCATGTAGCATAATATTTTTCAGGTTCCTCCATATGGTAGCATGTATCAATATATCATTCCGGAAAATATATTTTTATTCCTTTTTATCGCCTAGTAATATTCCATTCTGTGGACATACCACATTTGTCCATTCATCAGTCGGTGGATGCTTTTTTTTCCTACTTTGTGGCTGTTGTGAGTAATGTGGCTATAAATACTTGTGTACAAGTTTTTGTGTGGGCATGTATTTCATTTCTTTTGGTTACGTATCTAGGAATGGGATCGCTGAATCTCATAGAAAACCCTTAATTTCTTTTTGTCTCAATTGAGAGTGTGTGTATTTTTTTGTGAATACCATTTTGCTAAGTTTTTTCTCAGTTCAGAAAGAAAGCATTATCTTAGCACTAGAGAGATGTAGTTATTACAGTTTCTTGTAGAAGTGCTTACACTTCATTATATTTATTGTAAACTGTTCTTGGTCTTCACGCAGGATGCTGTGGTCTCTGCTCCTCTGTGAGTGTCTGTGGCTGGTAACCGGTGACGCGCACAGTGATGACTGGGTTGACCCCACAGACATGCTTAACTATGACGCTGCCTCCGGAACGATGAGGAAGCCTCAGGTACTGAAGTCCTGCACGGCCTCGCCGGTGCTGCGGTGGAGACAGTGTGCCCGTGGGGTTGTCAGGGCTGCGAGAGTCGGGTCTGAGTGATGAGCAGCCGTTCCGAGCCTCTCGCGCCGCTCAAGGCCCGAGATTCCTGCAGTTTTTAATTTGAAGGTAGAGCCCGTCAGGTAGCAAACGTAATTTGATTTTAGTTCTTAGCTAGTACATAAATTTGAGATTCTTACTTTTTTTGGTGGTTCAGTACAATTGAAGAATGCAAAGTAATAAAATGATGAAGTTAAAATATTAGTCTTTATTAACAATAGGCTCCTTTTACAACTGAACTGTAAAGAAATAAAATCTTCCTCTGCCCTGCTTTAGGTGAACTATGGTGTGTCAGAGAAAAAAGAGGTCAGTCCTGACTTGTACACTCAAGAATTGTCGGAATGTTACAGCAGGCTGGATTCTTTAACTCATAAGGTTAGATTTTTTCCATTCATGAATTGTACATCATTTATAGTATGTTAAATTGTCTGTTTTTCTGTGTTTGCTAACATTTTTATCTCTATATACTGTACAATTTATATATATTAGACCACTGGACAATGTAGGGTTCAGGAGTACCCCTCCCAACGCAGTCGAAAATCCTTGTATAACTTTTGACCCCCCAGAATTTAACTATTAATAGGCTACTGTTGACCAAAGTCCGTACAGATAACCAACAGTTGATTTATGCATATTTTTGTATGTTACATATATACTATATCTTTACAATAAAATAGAGAAAATGTTATTAAGAATATCCTAATGAAGAAAAAAACACATTTACAATATAGAATGTATTTATTGAAAAAATCTGCATATAAATGGGCCTGAGATGTTCAAACCCATGTTATTCAAGAGTCAACTGTATATTATTCCTTCTTCAGTTACTCTAGCCTTGGTTTGTCGTTAGTTATTCCAGTCTTTTTTAAAAATAGTATTTATTTTCCTGTAATAACATTTATCTTACTATGTTGTAATTATTTCTTTACCAGACTGAAAATTTCTTGGGACAAGGAATAATGTTTTATTTATTCTTAATTCTCTGTCCCCTGTCACAATGCTGGATGGAGTATAGTAGACTCATGGCAGATGGTAGCAAATGAAGAAATGGGCCCATTACCAGCTTAGAAGCATAAGAATTACTCTTGCAAATATAAGGGATTATTACAAAAGGAGGACCCCCCCCCCCCACAAAAAAATGGAACTATATTCTGGAGGGCGAGCCGTTTGTAGCATAGTCTTCCCCTCCTAGGTGGGTGTCCTCGGAACCTGTCTGTATTGGTGCACCTGCTGGTGGTGGTGTGAGAGGCTGCGTTTTCACTTCAGTGAACCTTCTTGGACTCTTTCAGTGTGTGTGTTCGTTTCATGATGGGTGGTTTACGAGCACACCTGCCCACACCATGCACCGGGAGGGAGGTTCCAGCCTGGTGGGGGGGGCGGGGAGCGCTTGCTCACTGAGATCCTAATGCATTTCATTTGGGAGCAGTAAGCACCTGCTTCTGGTTCTTAGCAGATGTGAGTGTTGTCTTAGCTGGACAGTAGCAAAGAAATACGTGGCCGAGTCTCCCTTTGTTCCTCCGCGTTTTCGTGGTGCGGTGGGTGTTCGGCTTCATAGCAGGAAACGCAGAAGTAGCCCTTTTATGGAAATTTTTCATTCCATTGTTTGTGACTTTGGTTCAAACATTGTAAAACACACGATGGGTAAAATGGAGTCTTGAGTCCTTGTCTTAAAAAAAAAAAAAAACAACCAAAACAGCATTGGTTCTCTTACAGAGAAATTTTTACAAACAGAAGTTTGTAAACTGTGCCTGAAAACAGAGGAAACAGCCATGTGCCTTCTCTCTCAAATGTCCTGTCCTGAGCTTGTGCTCATTATTATCTTGTGTCATTGGAGGCCCATTTCCGTGCTCAACTCATGGTCCACACTCAGTGAAAAAATAGAAGTTGTTTATCACAAGGTCTCCTGTCTGTAGAATATGCCTTGCGCTCACCTCACGCGGTGACTGGACCACTGTGGCGTTTGTAGAGCTAAGTTCAGAGGACATCCTAGTGAAGGTTCGTGTGCTGAGGGGTGGCCACGTGTGGGACACTCCGGCAAAGCCGTGGCTCCTTTCTTCTCAGAGCGTCCTGCATGGTGGGGGATGACCGGTCACAGCAGGAGAAGTTACTAAAAGGCCAGACGTAATAGACGCATTCAAGAAATTCTTTGCTGTATCCTCCTCCTCCTGGCTTTTTCCCGTCCCTGTTTCTCTCTCTCTCTCTATGTATCCTTCCTCCCTCTTTCTCCTTCCTCATTACTGAGAGATTGGTCCAGATAGTCTGTGTATCCACATCACTGCCCCCTTGCTTTATGGTCTTCGGCTTTAAAATTGCTGAAAGTCAGCAGAAAAACTGCCAGTCAGGGCCAGGTGCTGGGTACGCACTCCTCATTTATTGCCTACTTGCCCTTTGCAAAGAGAGAGCCCACAGACAGCAGGCAAGCTGTCCATTTTAAGGCACACTTGATAAAAATAACCAGTGCCTGGCCTTGGTCTTGATGGGGCTGCTAGGTTAGAAACTTGACCTTTACGTTAAACTTGGTGATGCTAACTGTGGGGTTTTTGTGTGTATGATTACAGATCAATGAATGTGAAAGCAAAAAGAAGAAAGACTATGAAAGTGAAAGAAATCCTGTTTTTGGGAGATACTTAAACAAGATTTTAATTGAAGCCAGAAAGCTTGGACTTGTGAGTATTGTTTGGGCGATGCTGGTCAGTGTAGTGGGTGTTTGCACTAACGAACACCCGGCTATACAGAGCAGTGACGGAGCACCGTTCTCGCTGTGCTTTAACGGAGAGCGCCTGCCTGGCCCTTTTACCAGAACCCGTTCTTGCAGGATCCAGGGCAGCCGCCTGCTGGCAGAGGTTTGGTGGAAGGCGGCACAGGCCATTTACATTTTCAACTCCCTGTACTGCTCAAACCGCTTAATTGAGTTGGGGATGGGTGTTGTTTCAAATTTGCTGTTTGAACTTTACCAAACAGTTGGAAATTTAGTCAACTCCTGACTTGGGAAGGAAATGCCATTCTGGCCCTTACTCATTTTCTACCAGTTCCACACTCTGTTACTCAGGTGATGAAAGATCTTTACACGCTGAAGAGGAGGACAGTGTGTTTTAAGTAGTTTTTCCCCCCAAGCTGTTTACCGTGGCAAGTGCTGCTTTTATGGAATTGGATAGTGTGTGTGCATATTATTCATAATTAATGTTAAGTTTCCATTTTTTATAGTCATTGTTTTCACTTAGGGCAGTCAGAATATCAAGAAACCTTAAGGGAGAGGAGTATCAAATGAATAATTAAATAGTCCCACCTTATTCTGGAAGTGCAAGAGCGGATGTTCTCATATATGCACCCTGTAATGCAAGCCTTATGAGTGTGTGCAAGGTGGGGCAGAGCCGGTTTTATAGGTAGATGAGGAAATAGCCAGAAAATACCTAAGGTGGTGATGCTTGGATATGTTCTTTACATTGTTCCTAGTTTTTAAAAAAATGTTAATGAATGCTGCTCTTTTATGCTTAGTGATGATTTTCGATTTGACAGGACACTTTGGTTTTTCTCATTTTATATTAACTTTTAAAAATAAATATCAGTATTTACTATTATAAAAGAAAAAAGAATTTTCTCATTACTATTAAGTGGTTAATGGATGTAAATGTTTACCATGATTTTGCTAACCTGAACTCACACTAATAAAGATAGTAATGTATAATACATGTTCATGGAACTCAGATATTCTGCTTTTTGAGATCCCTTTCATTTTTCTAATTTGTATCACTGCACATTTTAGGCTCTCTGAAAACTGTGCAAATGGGAAGTCATAAACCAAATCAAAGATAGCTGATCCTCATTATTGTGGATTCCATATTTGCAAATCTGTCTGATCGCTAAACCTTATTTATAGCCCCAACGTCAGTGTTCATGGTCCTTCATGGCCACTCTCAGACATGTGCATGGCAGCAGAGCATTTGGTTCTGTGGTCACTCCTGGACACGTGCAGAGTGGCAGAACATTTGAGTTGCCTGATGCACTCATTCCCAGCTGAGAATCCAGCAAGGCCACAGTCTGCCGTCTTTTTTCAGCTCTTAGACTATAAACATGTACTTTTTGTGGTCTGTTTTTCATGCTACATGCTACTTTTGTGTGTGGGGTTATTTAACTTTTAAACAGCTCCGCAGAGCTGTCTGGTGTCCCCGGGTGCGGGAGGGCTGTGAGGTGCCTGAGAGAGAAAGGACGTGTGCTGGGGAAGCCTAGTTCAGACTTGAGTTACAGAACTTTTGGCCGGGAGCTCAGTGTTAGTGAATTGGCAATGTACGTTAAATAAGCTGTCCTTAAATAGAATCTTATCTTTAAAAAAGGTTATGTATTGACTGGCGGCTGATGAGAACATATTCACAGGAACCTGGAGCCATGGTTCATTCAGTATTTGCTAGTTAGTGTTTGAGGTGACTATAGAATATAACTATCGCAAATAGTAAGAACCAACTGTATTTTAGTAAAATGTACGTTATTTGTGTAGATTTTATAGTTTTCTAAATGTTTTTGACATGTATTAGCTTTGCTTTTCATGTCAGCCTATGAGACAGACAGGTAGATGTTTTATATTGGATTGGCCAAAAAGTTCTAGTTTTTTCCTGTAAAGTAAAACACACACTATTCATTTTCACCAATAACTTTATTGATTTGGATATTTTGAGTATGTCAGCTGTCTCCTGCGTGGTACAATGTTGATTGTTCTCGATTAACGTCTCGATTTGATCGCTTTTGTCTTCAACTGGTCTACCTGACCGTGGAGCATCATCCAGCGAGAAATCTCCAGCATGAAACTTCCCAAACCACTTTTGACACATTCGAAGTCACAGCACCTTCTCCATATACTGCACAAATATTTTTTTTGCATTTCAGTTGTTTTTACCTTTCTTGAAGTAATAAAGCATAATATGCTGAAAATGTTGCTTGTTTTCTCCCATCTTCAGTATTAAAATGGCTACACAAAAATTCACCAATATTTGATGTGTTTTTTACTGCATGCTGATATGACAGCTGTCACATGCAATCTTACAAAATTGTTTCGAATGAAGTTAAGGACAACTAAGCACCTCTAGAGCCTTTTTACAGGAAAAAAAAAACCTTTTGGCAAACTCAGTATGTGTGAAATATTGTGAACTAATTATATATTTAGTTCCAAGTTGACTTTTGTCTTGAAACATTTCACTGAGTAATATAATAATAAAATTCTCTTTCCTGTTGTTTTTTTTTGGGGGGGAAATTTAATTCAGCCTGATGAAAACAAAGGAGATGTGCATTATGATGCTGAGATTATTCTTAAAAGACAAACCTTGATAGAAATACAGAAGTTTCTCGATGGAGAAAACTGGAATCCAGGTGCCTTGGATGAAGCACTAAGTGATATTTTAATTAATTTTAAGTTTCATGATTTTGAAAAGTGGCAGTGGCGATTTGAAGATTCCTTCGGCGTGGATCCATATGACGTGTTCATGGTAAGCTGGGATGCGGGGGCATGGTTAACAGTTCATTTAAACATTTCCAACTCTCCACCAAAATTATGTTGAGAACCTGTACTAAGTCACTCATACTGTACTGATGAACGTGCGGCAAAATGGTACAAATAATTTTGCATATTTGAGTCCGTTTCCTCTGTTTTGGTGACTGGCTGCTTCTTGGTGGGGGGACAGCCTGACAGTGACTCTGCCACCTCTGCTCTGTCTCCAAGGTGCTCCTGTGTCTGCTCTGCACCGTGCTGCTGGTGGCGACCGAGCTGTGGACGTACGTCCGCTGGTACACCCAGCTGAGGCGTTTTCTGTTCGTCAGTTTTCTCATCAGTTTGGCATGGAATTGGATGTATTTATACAAGGTATTAACGAGGTGGAAGGCTTTAATATTTAAAAATGTTATTTCATAGTAAGAGAAGAGATCATCTGTTTAGAGCTAGTGTGTAGCCTGGCCTCAGATGAGGGCTGGAGGCAGTGGTTGGAGGTGGGGGTGCAGGTGGCAGGTGCCCGCGGTGCCCTGTGTTTGGGGACTTGACTCGGTAGTGGGGAAGCAAGTGCAGTCCCGATTTGCATAATCCCGTTCCTGCTGGGTGGCATCTGAACAGCTAAATCAGAGGAGAGCCAGGCAGTCACATTTTAAAAACTCTTAGGTGATTTGGGATATGTTCTTCTATTCTTTGCTAGAAATGGTATCAAAATATTAGGGTTTTTTTGAAAGTTAGGTTATTTCCTGAGTATGAAAGTAGTATGTTTAAGGTAGAAAATTTACAAAAGATGAATACAGAGAAACTTAATTTTTAAATATCACCTATAATTATGCAACCTAGAGGTAATCACTGTCAATATTTTGACTTTATAGTCCTTTTCGTAAATTTTAATCCTTTCAAATTTGGAATCATGCTGAACCCTAACCCTAACTCTAGACCTAAAAAAAGAGAATTGAGTTAACGTGTATATAGAAATTTAAAAGAAGCACTGCTGTTCTGTCGAAGTATTCTAATCATTGCGGGAAAATTTTAGATCTTCATAGCAAGGTGAGTCAAATAGCCAAATAGCTGTATGAATTCATCTGATTAAATCATTGAGATTTTTAAAAACATTTTTCTGAGTTCCATAGCTTCTAGAAATGGTGATTATTTATAGATTAAAGGACAGACAGTTGTTTAGTTGACTCTTGTTACCTCACTGATTTCCCCTGGGGCTTCAATTTATAAAAGGTGTGTTGCCTTTATATAGGCCATTTGTACTGAAAAACCATCCAAAGCAAAACAGCATTTTATCATGAAATGAGAAGTAGTTATTTAACACATATAGCTATATTTTGGGGCATGATATAAACCATATTTGAACTAATTTTTTAAAACTAGTGACAAGGTTTTCCTTCCTCCTCATAATTGCTTACAAAGAAGGCAGTTCCAGTTAGTTCTTTAGCCTTCCTTGTTGCAGCAAGACTGCTTTGCTGGGAGCTGAAAAGAGCTACTCTTCTAAAGTAGTGGATACATTTTTTTCCTATGAAAATTTTTAAGCAGTCCGGTATCTGAACACAGGTGTGGGGGGGGCGAAGGCGCAGTCACTGTTCGCGGCAGCTCAGGCTTCTCTTTGGTGTGTGTCCATCAGATGGCGTTCGCACAGCACCAGGCTGAAGTCGCCAAGATGGAGCCGCTAAACAACGTGTGCGCCGAGAAGATGGACTGGTCTGAGAGTCTCTGGGGTAAGGCGCTGCTGCCGCGCTTGGCCTTGTTTGAACAGAATTTCTGAGTGAGAAAATATATTGAAAATTACTTAGAAGTGATAAAATGCCAGAAGGAAGCTTTCCACAACTGAATCTTTAATTATTTTATGTATTGATTTTAGAGAGGAAAGGAAAGAGAAAACAACAACAACAACATAGATTTGTTGTCCCACTTATTTATGCTTTCGTTGGTTGGTTCTTGTATGTGCCCTGACGGGGGATCAAACCTGCAACCTTTGCTTATCGGGATGACGCTGTAACCAACTGAGCTGCTTGGTCAGGGATCAGGAAGACTCTTAAGAGTCTTTTTGCGTGTTCTTCTGACACTTAAGTTTCAAAGCTAAATCAAAGAAAAGGCCAGGAGAAGAGACGGTCTTCTTCAGCCTTACACAACTATCTACTCTCTGCAAGTTTCCTGAATACTATTTTCAGTATCATTCCCAAGTTATAGTTATTTATCAATTATATGTTTTTCAACCCTTTATTGTAACTTTAAATTTATTGAGATGACAGTTAATAAAATTTATCGATTTAAAATGTACAGTTCTGTGATACATCATCAGTATTTTGTACTGGTTTACCATATCAAAATGACATCTTTAATTATTCTTTAGAATATCCTAAATTATCAAAAAACATTGACTGTATTTGTGGATAAGTTTATGTGGATATATAAATTTAATTCTCAAGATTATACCTGGGGCTTCTGTTCTCTGCTGGTCTTTGATATACAAGGGTGGGCAAAAACAGTTGTAATACAAATAAATAATACAATAATTAACAATACAAGAATAAATTCTGTTTTGTGTACTCACAACTGTACACTTATTTTTATCCCCTGTATATGAGGGGGACCCAAAAAAATTTAATTAAAAATTATGTATTCTTATATGTTCAAACTTTAGCCACCTTCAAAGTACTTATTTGATGCAATACACCTATTGAGACATTTTTTCCACTGCTCAAAACAGTTTTTGAACTTGTTTGATTTCGATTCCTTTTGGTGCTTCTGCCATTTTTTTTTGTGTCACCTCTTCCATATAGGCAAAACATTTCCCTTTGAGGACTTTTTTTCACCCAGGAAAACAAAATAAAACAAAAAATCATTTGGCGTGAGATCGGGTATCTAGGGAGGGTGGGACACGGGGGTCATGTTCATTTTTGATCAAAAACTGCTGAACACTCTGCGCAGTGTGGGCAGGCATGCTTGAAGCCACCCATCATGAGATGGGTAAACACATTGAAAGCATCTTCAAAAAAACAATTCACTGAAGCCGAACGCAGCCTCTCACAACAACGCCAGCTTGTACAATGGCATAGATGGGTTCCTAGAACACTGACCTAGTGGGGGAAGCCTGTACTACAAGGGGCCCGCCCTCTAGAAGATAATATCGGGGGGCTTTGAGTCTCCCCCCTTGCATTGTGTATTTTAATTATATTAAAGTAGTATATATCTTTACTACCTTTATTTCATTTTTTTTGGATTGGAGGGGAAGAAAGCAGAGGAGGATGTAAGATAAATGATAAGGGACTTTTAGAGTTGTTGAATAAATCTGTATTTATATTTTTCTTAAAAAAAATAAGGAAAATATTACAAATATTTGCTGGGGATTTGATTTATAGAACCAGGCTAATAAGTAGTAATTAAAGTTTTTCATATATATGTCTCAGGTTTCAGACCATTGAGTTTTGTGTTTGTTTATGTGACGTCACAGGGAAGGAATAGAAACCGGATTTGTTGGCTCTGAGATGTCTTCCTCTGTTAAACTGTGAAGGGTCCTCTACTCATCCTGTTCATTAGCACAGTGTCTGGCACATGCTGATCCTCAACAGAGTGTATTAAGTGAATCCATATATATACACACACACATATATATGAAGTAATAACCGTTTAGAGTTAATCTTGTTATATTGACTTACGAACTCTTACAGCTTTTTTTCTTTTTTTTTTTTTTTACAAAGGGGAAAATTACTTCTTAACAGATTTTTACAATATAAACATTCTAAGTAATGTTCACTGCCTTTAGTTATCTATACCTAGCAGTGGGAATGGTTTAATGATCAGACACTTTATAAATAAGTACAAGTCCATGATGACTAATCTGGGCAGAATCTCAGCAGACTCTACAATCAGGTGCCCAAACTCAACGTTCCCCGAGAGGCTATGGGAGCTGAACCAGCCAGCCTTGTTCTCGGTCTCAGGGCCAGCTGCGTGCCGCCTCTGGTGCAGACTGGCGGGGTGTAAGCCTGCCTCGGAAAACCGGGGGGACTGACTTGTAAACTGAGATTTTGCTGAGACTACTGTGCATGCACAGGTAATTTTAAGAAATAATACAGAGAGGTCCTCTGTGCCCTTACCCACGGGCCCCCAGTGGCAGGCAGCACCCTGCACGACAGCACTGGTCCAGCAGCACAGCCAGGACAGGGACTCAGACCCAGTCCGGCAGGCTTAGTCAGGGGTCCCTGGTTTTCAGATAGATACCTCTTAGAGATCTTTCAACAAAGATTTTATCTGCATAAGACTTATACAATTTGAATGGATTTTTAAAATATTTTGGACATACAATGAAAAATTTTTTAAATTTTCATTACAGGGAATCTATTTGTAAAACAATTTAAAATTGGTAGTGGTGAGTGGGTAAAACCAAAATACTGTCTTACTGGGAATGAAATACAGCTTTTTAAAAAAATGACTCATCTGTTTCTCTAAATAGAATGGCTTAGAAGTTCATGGACCTACAAGGATGACCCATGCCAGAAGTACTATGAGCTCTTATTAGTCAACCCCATTTTATTGGTTCCACCAACAAAGGTACAGAATGTTTTCTGAAAAAGTTGCTTATACAAAGTAAGTCGATAAACCCTTGCATATATTAAAAATTGTTAGTGTTTTCTATTTTATTTTTATCTTAAAAAAGTATTTATTGACTTTAGAGAGGGGGGTGGGGGAGAGAAAGAGGAACATCGATTTGTTCTTCCACTTAGCTGTGCATTCACTAGTTGATTCTCATATATGTACTGACTGGGGATCGAACCCACAACCTTGGCATAGCAGGATGACACTCAAACCAACTGAGGTAGGTGAAAAATTGTTACTGTGTATGAGAGTCATTGTGCTAACTTTTGTTCCAGAAAAAAAGCATTTCTATTACATAGTGATTTTCATGTTTTTAAAAAGCTTATGGCAGCATTTTAATTTATGTAGCACAACTTTAGCCTTAGTGTCCAGTCAGATTTGGCTTACTCTATGTGCCTCAGTCCTTTAAGGGGAAAAAAAACGAAGTTGCTTTTACCTTTTTTAGGCATTGGCAGTTACGTTCACCAACTTTGTCACGGAGCCGCTGAAGCACATTGGACAAGGAATTGGTGAATTCATTAAAGCACTCATGAAGGAGACGCCTGTGCTCTATCAGATCCCCTTGCTCGCCATTGTGGCCATAGGCGTCCTGGTTAGTACAGCGCGCCATGGACAGTGGGGTTCACAGAACAAGGGCCATTCTAAAATGATGAGGTGTCAGCAAAGCCTCGTAATCAGGCTGGGTCATGCCTAATGGTACGAGAAGGCGATTTTTAGGTGGTACCGCTCTACTTTTACTTCCACATACAAGGACGTGGTACTCATGTTGGATTGTAGATGCCATGACACTGATTTAAAATAAGACTTTCCTTTAAAAAATGGGTTCTTCGCACTCGGTGAATTAACACATACGAAGTCACTTTGCACGTCCTCTTGAGAAAATCTTCATTGTAGCCTGAGCTTTTGCAGCCCTGAGTAGGGAAGAGCCTTGGGTTTAAGAGCATCAGGAAGAGGGGTGTGTGTGAAAGAAGGTAAGTGTACTGACAAGTTGGGGGTCCAGGAACAGACGGTTATTAAGAAATGTTACTTGTCCCTTTTCCATGGTCTCTAGCTTTTTGTGCTGTTGGTTTTCAGCACTTATGCAAAAAAGCAGTTGTCATATAAACAAAATCGTAAAGAACTCAGATGTGCCTCTGAGTGTCTTCTCTAAGGACACAAATTCACTATGCTCAGTGCACTTTGAGATTGTTCCTGTTTTGGTTTTTGTTTCAGTGTCTGATGACAGGATCTGGTGGTTTAGGGGTACAGATTTGCCGGGTGACATTAGTTGTATAGTTTAGTCTCTGACACTGAGATTATATACAAAACCCATCATCTCTTGTTTCACCTGCCTAAGAAAGAGCCTGTGCTGCTTCTGTCTTCAAAAATCAGTATCTGGTTTGCAAAACACTTTGTTTCTGGGGCCCTTGCATTCTAAGAATTGAACACCACAAAGAACTCTTGTTTATGGGATTTTATTTACTGAAATTTTACACATTAAGAATTAAAACAGGATATTTTAAAATACCAGTCTCTGCGAGCGCACAGCCCACAAGCCTCCAGCGAGGAAGCCAGCGAGGCCCGGAAGACCGCACTGGCACGCGGGAGAGGAGAGCGAGCCTCCTGTGTGTGTTGTGAACAGCGTGGGCCTCACAGGGTCGTCCAGGGCTCCGGGGCCCCGCTCGGAGACGTGCTGCTTAGTGTCTCCGTGCGTCCTGGCTCTAAGCCTGCTGGACTGTAGCTGTAGCTGAAGCCACATTTGTGTGGTAAAAAAATTAACTTACAGGAGAAGGTTGACATAATGATGTGCAACTTTGAACAGTTTTTAGCATTTACCTCATGTGATGGGTGTGAATATAGATAACATATGCTCAACTATGAGATAGTTCCAGTGGCAATTTCTGGGCTTCAGCCTAACCGCTGTTGTTAATGATGCAATCAAAATGTGTCCAGCTGATTGAAATGTCTACTTAATACTGAGTAATTTCTCATTTTTATTGGCTACTCTGGCCATGTAGTAGAGACCTCTAATGGTTAAAAAAAAAAAAAGTTGAATTACCATTTGTGTCTACAAATGCCACAAATTAGATTACATAATTTTGTTAGCACCCTGAATAAGAAGCCCCTGATGATTTTCCGGTAAGTCAGCCATTAAGTGCTCAGGACCCGTATGTCTTTTCCTTCTAGAGTTTCTGCTATGGTGCTGGGAACTCAATTTTTTTGCTGGGACCTTTTGGTGGTCGAAGAAGAGAGCCGCCCCTGGCCCTTCAGCCAGATGACCAGCGCCAGCAGCAGAGAATTGATTATAGACCCAATGGTGGAGCAGGTGATGCAGACTTTTACTATAGGGGCCCAATCGGCCCCGTTGAGCAAGGCCCTTATGACAGAACGAATGAGGGTAGAAGACATGTTTTGAGAGAGAGAGATGTTGGCTTGAGAATTCAGACTGGCCACAGGAGCCCCGAAGTGCTCCGGGCAGGTGACTTTCCAGACACAGAGACGCGAGAGCATCCCGAGGTGGTGTCCAGTGTAAGTCAGCTACGGTTCGTTTTCTGTCCCTTTGCTCTAGGCCTCAGCGCTTCCTGTAGATCATGGTTAACTCCGACCTTCACCGTTATATCACATTCTGTCTTCCTTGCTGTGGTCAAAAGTTAGTCCAGCCTCCTTTGGAGAATTGAGACTTGTTTTTTATGTGAAGTGCTCTCACAGTAGTTGGTTAGGACAGGTAGAAATTCACCTGAAATTTCATAGGAAACCAGCTGGTGAGCATGACCAACACTCTGCCTTTGGAGAGAGGGAAGGGAGCCTCTGGAAAGGCAGCCCCAGGAACCCACAGCAGTGCCAGGCCTTAGCTGGAAGAGTGGGCGGGGACCAAGAACCTCTGCTTCCCCTGTCTTCCGGGTCATTGGCTGGCCGCCCTGTGCTTTTTACCTGCAGAGTGGTGAGGACCTTCCCCCACCATTTTGACCGTTTAAAGGGACATTTCCATTTCTGTTTGAGAGTGGAATTTGTGTTGTCCTTTGCAAAGTTTAAGTTGCAAGTGTAAAAGTTTACAACTTAAACACAGTAGAGCCAACGAAATTAAAGACTCCCTTTCCATGGAGTTCCTTATAAGAAAAAATATCTGCAAGGATCTAAGAAACCTGAAGGTGTTCCTTTCAGCTTTAATAGTTAATATAGATCTGACGCTCATCTCAAGAACCCTCCGGTGACTTCTTACCCGATTTAGAGTGAACACCAAAGTTGCCGCGTGGCCCGGGGCCCCCGCCATCTGCCTGCACTCCACCTGTCCCCCGTTGGTCCCCTCCCCACGCGCTCCGCTCCTGACTAGTCCTTGACCTCAGAGCCTTTGTGCTTGCTGTTCGCGGTCTGTCCCCCTACACAGCCCCACACATGGTTCATTTCCTCAGGCCTTTGTGCATCCAGCACCTTTCAGACCTGCAGTGCGACCCCAGCACCCCGAGCCTGCTTCCAGCATGATGCTGTTAGTTGGGTTGTTGCCTGATTCCCCTGCCTCAATGTAAGTTCCAGCAGGGCAAGGGTTTTGTCTGGTCTTTTCCTGTGGTACCCCCAGCACCAAGTGTATATTCAGCCGGTGTTTATCAAATGAACTGTTCTCACCAGGCAGGAGGACTTAGCAGTTCTGTCCCCAGTCCTGACTGCCGAGTGTGTGGTGTCCTGCTCTGCTGAGGACAGTTCTGTGAAGCTGGATGTTTATGTCTTTACAGTCCAGCACTTTGAAAGAATTCAGAGTTGTATAGGAACTTGTTAAACATGATTTCTAACCTTCACAGTATGTTAGTTAAACAATGGAAACAAAATGTACTCTACTTTCTAGCCCAGAGAGACTGGCGGAGACGGAGGAGAAGGCTCTCCCACCGAGAGCAGCACGGCAGGCAGCCGGCCGCCTGAGCCTGTCACCAGCCAGGAGCCCTCAGGGAGTGTGGACTGTTCACCAGCAGCGGGGAAGGCCCAGCTCAGGACTGATGCCAAAGGCAGCCCCGAGGCCGGCAGCGCTGCCGGCCCGGCCTTGGGAGCCGGTGGAAAGGACCCGCCCAGGGGCACATGTGCGTAGAGGAGCGCGGGCTCGGACCGTGGCGCGGAGGCCGTCTTTCTGCACTGCGGTTCTGTGGCGTAAACTCTCAACTATTCACTGCAGATATTCTGATACTTACTGCAACATTGCCAACGTAAACGTGAATATTTTTACTGACAGAATTAGCAAACATGTATTTGATTTGTTTAACTTCTTTCATCTGTTTGATTTTCTGTTTGATGGTGAGATAACATCCCGTAAAACTTTGAAGTATGAGTTTTGGAACAGGATCTCATAAATGAACATAAGCAAGCATCACTAATCTGAATAATTAAAGCCATGTGGCACTAGGGTCTTTGAAAAAGTAATTGTATGTTTACACGTCTGGGACCCAGGTCACCCCGAGAGAGTGTGGTTGAGGGGACGTCCTGTGGCAGCTACTTTAGTTGAGAGAATCTGCCAGTTGTGCATTGCGTTGCAAAAGTGGCAGGTACTCTCAAACCATTTGGAAGGGGAGTCCACTGCAGCCACGTTGACTCTCCGTGTCCTTCAGCACCTTTAGAGCCGTGGAGTCTGCGTTGGCAGCACTCCCGTCTCTGCAGGCTGCTCACAGAGGGTGGTGGCCTTGCAGGGTCATCGTACGGGCTTTTCTCAGCTCCCAGCCGTTACTGGGGCTGCTTCCTTATCACCCCTTTACATTTTCCTCTGCTGACACAGACTGAAAGTTGCCAGGGGACTTCAGGTGGTGCAGCGTGTTAAGTTGGTAGCCCCAGTATTCCGTAGTGAGCGGACCCTGAGAGGGACTTTGGTTTGCCCCACCAGGTGAAGTGCACCGGCTTTGTAAGACCCGTTTTCCTGGCCGCTCAGAATCCCACCAGCTGAGACTGTTAGAAACCACAGCACCTTACGTGAGAGCAGAGCGTGGTGGTCGGGCCCCAGCAAGTGCGCGGTTCTGGCGCTGTGGACACAGAGCAGCCGCTGTGCTGGGGAGGACAGAGCAGGGCGCCTCCCTCACCTGTGGACGGCCGATCCGCTCGGCACTTCAACTTTGTTACTCTGATTTTTTAAACTATTCCTCATTTTAAACTTAAAAAATTTGTCCCGTCCCTACCAGAAAGCAAATTTCACATACATTTATTTAGGTGTCCTCTGTTTTAATGTTCACACTAAAAGTAATGTTCAGCTGCTGACAGATAGGAATAGTCTTAAAATCTTCCCTTAGGTATTTGTTTCAGAAAACTCTTATTCAAAGCATTTGCTTTCTGAAGTTTTTTCTAATGTTATTTTTCAATTACAGTTGTCACTTGGTATTTTCTTTTAGATAAAGGTGGACAGCATAGTGGTTAGACAGTCATACACTTTATGAAGTGGTCCCTCCCGTACTTCCAGTGCCCACCTGGCGCTGCACGTACATATTACGCTATTACTGACCTGTATTTCTTATGCTCTATTTCTGGGGGTTTTTCACATGAGATGTAGAAATCTTTTTTGCTCCTTGAAGCATCACTTAGATGCCTTTAACACTTTAGTTTTATGTGTTAATATTGCAAATATCTTTAGTATTTCCTCAGAGAGGTGGTCATTTTTTCCAAGAAATGGAAAAAGAATTGTGTATACAAATTTGTAACACTGGGCACCTAACAAATGAACTAGTGACCATATGCCTGCAGTCTGGAATAGATCTCCGAGCATCGATGCACATAACCTAGCCCTCTGGGGGCTGGACCTCTTCACCGACAGGCGACATGCGCCCCAGGTGGTGGTGTCCTCTGGGCTGGGGTCCAGTTCCGAAGAGGAAGGAGGACCTCAGGTGGCTGAGCCCAACCGTGAGAGTGGACATAATGCGTTCTGCACGCCTGACTGCTGTTTGTCAACCCCAAAATGAATCTTTGATGAAAACTTTTAAGTAGAATTTCATCTTTGTATTCTTGGCATTTCATGCCTGCTGTTGAGTGATGCCAGGAATTTAGGGAAGTCCTATTAGAGCAAGGCAGACATATCAAGGCCAGATTATAACTAGAAGACAGGCTTGGTTTTCCAGCCAATGTTTGTCACTAAAATCAAGGATTGCAGTGATAAGCTCTTAGGGAGAGCAGAATAGCATAGGCAGCTTGTAAAAGCGATCTTAAAATGGAGTGATGTTGAATGTTTACATGATTTAAAACTACCATGTATACAAAATAAACTTATTTTCCTATTACTCTGGTTGGTGTGCTTGTTTTTGCTCTTTGAGTATTTTTATAAGAAAAAGCCCCGTGAGACTTATGTGCACTTTTTTAAAAGGCAACTCCAGGACATTATACCCCATATACTATATATAAATCATATAATCCAGGGGTTGAGTACTTTTGATACAATTTCCAGTAAGAATAACTTTTTTTATCCTGAGTCCTTAATGTAATTCCAGATTGTTTTACTAACTTTCTTATTTTTTTTTTTTTTAATGGCTGTTTGGAGAAGCGGTTCTCACTGTTTGCCCATCAAAATCACCTGAAGGATTTTTAGGAAGAGCCCCTGGATCTCCTCCCAGGTGTACAGAGTCAGAAGCACCCAGAGGTGAATGAGTTCCAACTTGTTCTGGGGGGCAGGGGGCGGGGGGCGTGGTGGTTTACTGCACACAGTTGACTTAGGGGCTGGGCTCTGTCCTTGTTTTTATTTTGTCATGTCCTGTTAGGTATCCTTGTAAAAACTCCCTTCAGTTTCTGGGAAGATGCTTAATGGCAACTGAGGTCCTAACCTACCTCTCCCATACTGGAATTTTGTTAGTTTTTATCTGTTTTTTCATGGCTAGGTTCTTGACATAACAACATAGTTGTTTTTGTCTTTTTAAAAAAATTAGTTCCTAACAACTTTTACAGCAGTGTTTTGCAATACAGCATACGATTTCGAACCATATAGACATAGCTATGTCTGTGTCAATATATATGGTCATGCACCACATAATGATGTTTTGGTCAATGGCAGACCACTTACAGTGGTCATGTAAGATCATAACGGAGCTGAGAAATGCCTGTGGCGCAGCCACGTCATGGGCATTCTAACCTCGCAGTGCAGGCGGTTGCTCGTGTGTCGGCGGTGCTGGTGGAAACAACCTAGTGTGCCGCCAGATCGCTTGGCCGCTGCAGTTACGGTAGGACAGTAATCACATTCCCGGTGTCACACGACGTACGTTGTTCCTCAGAACCTCCGCCTACCGGTACATGGCACGTGACTTTTTTTAATTAAGCAAAGAGCCCAAATGTGGTAAAAAGTTTTATTTCTTAAGAGTCTCTCTCAATGGCTTTGGCCTAAAAATATATTGAAATTAGATGTTCTTGGGGCGGGGGGCGGGGGGAACGACTAGATTTTTTTTTTTTTAAATGAGACTACTTTATATAATTTTTACATATTGGTCAAGTACATTATTACAGGACAGTGTAATTTCTCTCCACATTGACTTTAAGTATTTAAAAAAATCCCACTGTCAATGAAGACTTTAAAAATATCTCAGCAAGAGGATTAAATTGTAGTCTAGGATTCATGTAACCTTCTACTTCACAACATAGGTAAAGGAGGGATCTAACAAGTTGCCAAAGAACAGTACCAAGCAGGAATCGCAAAAGCTGATGAAGCACCTTGTAAGACATCTCCGCCCTGAAGCACGTGAGTGTCCAGTGTCCACTAACATTGTACTGCAAAGATTAAATATTTATATCATTCTCAAAACATTTTAAGCGGTATTACAGTGCTGTAATTTCTCCTTTTAAGGAAAAAGAAATAGATTGAATTTCCTTGCAGTGTTCTGAAAGGAAATAGGGTCACTTTTTAAGAATCTACCCATAGTAACTAGTGGTTTGCTTATTTTTTTCCTGAATTTTTAAAGTCCAACAGAGCATTGCTTTGCAAACAGTCCTGTAGCCCAAATTCAGTGTCTCTGTTTTGATCTCTTTGTAAAAGAACTCTCTGTTCATCCATTCTTTTCGCCTGAGACCGGAGAATGAGGCTAAAAAAGTCCTCGTCTGGTACCGTTGGCCCCTTTGGGGCAGCAGGCGGTGGGGCACATCGTTGGTCATCTAATCTGGACCCCTGAGAACACACGAGAAAGAGATTAAGACAAACACTGAGGGGAAGGAGAGCACGAGCTGTATGTGTGTCATTCCCACAAGAAACGGAGCTTTGACCATTTCCTTTTTGCCTCTTCTCAGAAATTTGCTTCATCTTTAGCTCTGAAACCCAGTAAACTTTTTCCTTAAAATTGGCTTATGTAACAAATATCATACAGAAGTAGAGCCACAGCTTCATGGCTTTGGAAAGATTAAGACAGAAGGTCAACTGCGTCCAGGCGTGACAGAGATGAGAATCTTGCCACAGCGGGCACGGACAGACGGACCTCCCCAGATCCTTAGAATTGCCATCACAGGGAACCCCAGCCCCGACACCCGGCCACCTTCCCCTCCTGCCCTGCCCTGCCCTGCCCTGCCCTGCCCTGCCCTGCCCTGCCCTGCCCTGCCCTGCCCTGGTGGTGTCATCCCTCTGCCCCGCCATGAGCTCCCATGGTCATAGGCCCGACTCCGCCGCTCCTGATGATGAGAGCGCCCGTGGGGGCCACTGCCACCGCTTTTTCCAGATGGTGCTCGCTAGTAAGTCCAGTAAATCTTTTTGTGATAAAATAAACGTCACAATTTTCTGCTTTAACCACATTGAAGCGTGCAGTTCAGTGGCGTTGAGTACATTCACGCTGTGCGCCCGCCACCACCATCCACCTCCAGGACAGCCTTCGTCCTGCGAAACTGAAGTGCTGCCCCTGAATGGCGACCGCCACCCCTCCCCCGCAGCCCCCAGCGTGCCTCTGCCCCTGTGAGTGTGGCTACTCCAGGCGCCTCATGAGTGGGCGAGCCCACAGCTGTCCTTCTGTGACTGCTTATTTCTCAGCGTGTCCTTACGGCTCATCCATCTGGTAGCATGTGTCAGTTTCCTTCATTTTTAAGGTGGAAAAATATTCCGTCCTGTTTATACACACTTTACCCCTGAACCTGCTGGGAGACTGTTGGATTGTCAGTAGATGGCTCACGTTCCTGGTTTCATTTGTTGAGGGAGTGTATTCTGAAGTAGGACTGTCGGATCCTGTGGTGGTTCTGTTTTTAATTGTTTGAGGAACTGTGAGACTTTGCTCCATACGAGCTACACCACGTTGCTCTCCCACACGCTGTGTATGAGGGTTCCCGTTTCTCCACAGCCTTGCCGAGACGTGCTGTTTCTTTGATAGTTGCCATCCTAATGGTGTGAGGTGGTATCTCATTATGGTTTTGATCTGCGTTTTCCTAATGATCTGGGGAGATGGACACCTTTTCCTGTGTTTATTGGCCATTTGTAGGTCTTTGGAGAAATGTCTTTTTGGGTTCTTTGCCCATTTTTGAAGCAGATCTTTTTGTTGTTGAGTTTGAGTTCTGTATATTCTGGATTAATCCTTTATTTATTACACTATTTGCTAATATGCTCTGTGGCTGCCTTTTTACTTTGTTGGTAGTATCCTTTGATATACAGAAGTTTTACTTTTTTTTTTTAAGATTTTATTTATTTTTAGAGAGGGAGAAAGAATGGAGAGACATCAATGTAGTTGCTTCTTGTGGGCCATCTACTGGGGACCTGGCCCACAACCCAGGCACATACCCCCGACTGGGAATCAAACTGGCCGCTCTTTGGTTGAGCGGCTGGCACTCAATCCACTGAGCCACAACAGCCAGGGCAAAAATTTCACATTTTCATAGTCCAATTTGTCTTTTTTTTTCTTCTTATTGTTAACTTGTGTCTTAAGTGACATAACCAGGAAATCATTGCCAATCTAATGCTGTGAAGCTTTCCCTTTATATTTTCTTTGGAAACTAATTTTATAGTTTTAACTCCTACCTTTAGGTCTTTGATCCATTTTTAATTAATATTATCGCTCATGTTAGATAAGGCCCAGGTTCTGCATGTGCATATCCAGTTTCTGCATTTGTTGATGAGACTCCTTAGCCACTGAATGGTCTTGGCTGTATGTCGGAATCATTTGACTGAATATGTGAGATGTGAGGGCTTATGTGTAGGCTCTGTATTCTAGTCTCTTGGTCTGTGTGTGTATCTTTATGCCAGTACTGCACTGTTTTGATAACTGTAGCTTTGTAGTAAATTTGAAATCACCAAGTTTGAGTCTTCCAATTTTGTGTTTCTTGCTCAAGATTATTTAGCCAATTTTGATTCCCTTGATATTCCACGTGAATTTTAGGGTGGAGTTTTCTATTTCTGTAAAAACGTCATTGAAATTTGATATGGATTTCATTGACTGTGTAGATCACACTGGTAGAATTGACATTTTTGACAATATTAAGTCTTCCAACCCATGAACACCAACATTAATTTAATTATTAATTTCAGAAATATTTTGTAGTTTACATAGTACAAGTTTTTTTTTTACCTCCTTGGTTAATTCCTAAGTATTGTATTCTTTTTGATGCTATTTTAAGTGGCATTGTTTTCATTGTTTCCTTTTTTGGACTGTTCATTGTTAGTGTAGAGAAACAACAGATTTTTCGATAATTGATTTTATATCCTGTTACTTTGCTGAATTTGTTTCTCACAGGGTTTTTTTTGGGTGTGATATTTCAGGATTTTCTACATATAAGACTCTGTCATTTGAAGAAAGGTAATTTGACTCTTTCCTTTCCAACTTAGATGCCTTTTCTTTCTTGCCTAACTGCTCTCAGTAGAACTTCCAGTACATGTTGAAAGATGTGGGCATCCTTGCCTTAGTACTGGTGGTAGAAAAAAAGCTTTCAGTCCTTTACCCCAGTTATGATGACAGCTGTAGGTATTTCTTAAATACTTAACTTTTATTATGTTTTAGTAGTTTCCTGATATTCCTAGTTTGAGTGTTTTTATCATATAAATGTATTGAATTTTCCCAAATGCTTTTTATGCATCAGTTGAGATGACCGTGTGGTATTTTTTTCTTTAGTTCTGTGAATGTGTATTGCACTGACTGATACGTTCAATCATCCCCACTTTCCAGGTATTAATCCCACCTGGTCGTGGCATGTGTACTGAGAAGGGACATCGGCAGTAGTTACCTTGCAGTGTCCTGTTAGTTCTGGGACCAGGGCAAATAGATTGGCCTCATAGAATGGCTCCTAAGTCACAGGAAGTGTTCCTTTCTCTTCAGTTTTTGGGAGTTTGAGAAGCGCTGATGTTAGTTCTTTAGATGTTCGGTAGCCTTCGCCTGTCCAGGCGTCACCAGGCCTGACCAATGACTGATAGAACCACCGCACACATTATGGGTCTGTTTTACTTGTCCGTGATTTTTCTGGGTTGGTTTTATGCTTCTAGTTATTTGCCCATTTTTGTCTAGCTTACCCTGCTTGCTCATCTACAATCATTCATAGTGTCCCCGGTAGTTTTTATTTCTGTAGAATAAGGAGCACTGTCCCCACTTTCATTTCTAATTTTAGTAACTTGAGCATTGTCAGCCTTTTCAAATACCCAGCATTTGGTTTTGTTGAGTTTTCTGTTTTTCCATTCTCGTTCTCATCTTATTTCCTTCTTTCTCCCTAAATTGTAAACTTAGCTATGGATTTAGGACCTTTCTTTTTAATGTGAGCATTTACAGCTATAAGTCTGCCCCTGAGCACCACCTCCTGTTTTAGGACAGTGCATTTTCATCACTCTGTAGGTTTCCTAATTTCCCTTTGACTCATTGGTTGGTTGATTTCCAAAAATCTGTGAACTTTCTAGTTTCCCTTTTGTTATTGCTTGTAAATTCATCCCATTGTGGTTAGAGAAGGTACTTTGTATGCTACCCGACACACAGTCGATCCTGGAGAACGTGTAGAGTATTAGATGAGGGTGGGTGTTTAAGTCTCCCGCTGTTACTGTGGAGACGTCTACTCAGCTTCCTTTACACTGAGGGCCTGGGTCACTCTGAGGTACTCAGCTCTGTATTTCTTGTATTCCCTCTGGAATCACAGCTAAGTCTCACTTTGACACATTTCATTTCCTTCTCAGATTCGAAATCACTACCTGCCATGAGCTTCTCTCCCCCTCTATTCTGTTCTCCAGGCAGAATACCAACCTTGATTAAATCTTTTTCCCTTAAGCAGTGGTTATGACTGGAGAAAATATACAGTTGTATTGCCCATACTTACTTCAGTGACCATGAAATGCAAGTGAGTCCTCGGCACAGGTCAGCAGTCCTGTTAGTACGCTGTCAGCTTCGCAACGTGTCAACTATGTTCTGCTTCCTTTTCTTTCAAAGTCCCAGTTTATGCCCTACTCCTTCCTTACTGTGCTGAGAGAGCAGCAGCCAGAAAGTCTCTCTACTTGCTCCACCTCTGCCTGTGCACCCATACGCCCTGCGTTCTCCTCTGCACAGAGCCTGCTCTTCAGTTAGTCCACGTCCTTCGGCAGCCCTGGCTCCCCTGCGCGCTGGGTCACTGCCAGCCGCGGACAGAAACCCCGCTGTGCGCCCTGCCAGCCAACGGCCCATTTCTCACCTTGCCTTTCCTTCGTAAGCACAGTCCCTTGAAAACTACCTCCCCTTTTGCACAGCCCATTTTCTCAACCCATGCAATCCTTTGTCTCTGTCGCATCACTAGAACAGTATCTTTCAAAACCCCCAAGTGTGATGATAGCACAGGCAGGGTCGGCCACAGCTGAACTTCCTTAACCCCCTGCCGCACCTGGCTCTGCCCGCTCTGGCCCCGACGGCTGGCCCACCTCCTCTAGCCGTTAGATTTCGAGGGGCCTAGGGCTTGGTCTTCTGTTCCCTTATCTGCCCAGGGCTTTAGTACCAGCTGCCTGCAGAGGGCTCCCAAAGCCCTCCTCTCTTGGGGTTAAGGTTTTTATGTCCAGTTGCCTTCTCAACTTCAGTGTCTCATCAGGTGTCTTAAATTTACATTTCTAAAGTAGAGCTTTTTCTCCCCAAACCTGTTTCCCCTCTGTCTTCTCCATTTCATTAAATGACTCCATTCAGTCACTCACTATTCAAGCCAAAAAGCTAGCAGTCATCCTTTATCCTTGTGCCGCCATCCAGTTGATCGGCAGCTCTTGCCGATCGATCGTGACTTCAGAATGTAGCCCTTGTCAGACCACTTACCACTCCTGCTCCCACCGCCTGTCACCTGGATTTCTGGGTGAGTTTCCCAGCTGTTGTTCGCACGGACACCCCTCACCGCTCTGGGCCCTGAGGCTTCTCCCGCCCCCTGTCACTCCTCAGCAGTCACACCAACCATCTTGCCGTTCCGTGAACGTGCTAATAACAAGCTTTTGGGGACTTGCTGTCTCTCCATGGAATGTTCTTTTCCATGACTGACTGCTTCACCTCACTCAGGCCGGCCATGTCTTCTGTAACCTACATCAGACACTCCTCCAACCACAAGCCCTGGATCTTGCTTTAATTTTCTTTATAGCAAGTACCACATGTACACTTGACAAACGCACTTAATGCCTCTGTACCTCCAGTGTCTAGAGTAATACCCATAAGGGGTGTTCAATGATTTTTTTGTTGAATATAGGTAGTTCCTATCATCTCTTTTCTTTATGAATGAGACGGTAAGAAATAGGGCCAGGCAGAGGGAATGTCTACTTAGTGAAAATAAGGCTTATATTTCTCTTCCAGTGATTACAAACCAATGTGGTTAAGGAAACACCTAAAATATGGAAGCTACTGGACTCTCTAGGCTGTCTGAACAGGGCCTGTACCGACTGCCTTCATCACTGGCTGCGCCTGTCTCGGAAAATTTAGGGAAGAGGGCCGCCTTCCGGAAGAGCCTTTAGTCTCCTCTGCACATCAGCAACACTGCCCCTCGCCTCACTGGCATCCACAGAATGCACAGAATGATAAAAACATGCACGTACTTGACATTTTACAAGGATGTCAAAGAAGTCTTCATCAGGCTCCTTGCTGTCGTTCGTCATCAGGTGGCCCAGGACTGACTGGTTGTTCTTCTGTGTCAGACGAAGCCCAGGCAAGTTGCTGACGCTGGCCCGCTGGTCATCCAGGCGACGGCTCTGGGAGCTGGCAAGGAGATCTAGAAACTCGTCCGTGTTGGGGGACACCATGGAGCCAGACGGCGCTATGGACAGGAAAGACCACCCAGACGTTAGGTCCTGCCCAGCTCTGTCACTGAGGGGGAGAAGTGAACCCCGGAGGACCTCAAATGGTCCATCTGGTGGCGGTTCAGATTTGACAGCATTTCCCTTTACCTAATTCCCACCCCAAAAGGTACCTTTACAAGACTCAGGGCTGGATTTTAGAAGGTAAATGAGTTTTGTTTTTTTCTTTCCAACATACTCTGTCTGACCAGGACAAATGGGACAGTGTCTCTATTCCAGGCCCTGGATAGGAACTGTTCAACTCCAAGTTGGGTGCAGCTCTAAGGTAGAGGGAATCTTCTAGGAGGTGAAACAGGAAAATTTTGGCCGCCTACGTTAGACCCTCCCAAGGCTCAGGCAGGTCTCAGCCTTGGCTTTTCTTTAATCTAGATGTGAAGCATTTTACATGTAAGGTACATGTAACTGTAATTTTTTTCATTTTTTTCCCCCAAACCTGAAGAAACTAGGAAGATAGTGTGACGTAGTAGAAAGTGTACTGGACAAGAAACACAGATAAACTCGGGAAGTGACAGAGAACCTTTTTCGACCTGTACAAATACCAGCATTTCGGATACACCTGGACTCAGGCTCAGTCATTCTATCTCCTCCTCAGGTAAGAACTAAACTCTCAAAGAAAACATGAGACCGTCAAAGGGAACTACAAAAACTGGGGGAGAAGCACAGGCAACTTACGCTGCAGCGCCCCTCTCGCGGGGGTGGACGGGGCTGCGCCCGCCCCGCAGTTCTTCTCTTGTAAGCAGCACCTCTGATCGTCCATCCGGTTGCTTTGGAATCGGCTTAACAGGTCAAAAAAACCTTCATCTCCAATAGTCTCTGCGCTGAGTTTCTGAATATTGGGAGAAAATCTAAATATTCCAGCATCATCCATGGAACAGTATCTTGATATACTCAAATGCAAAAGGGAAAGATTGAAAATAAAAATGGGCATTTACTTCATAAACAAAGAGTTATTTCAACCCAACTAACAAGCAGCATTTCTAGTATTTTAATTTTTACTCCTTGTATTTCTAAGGCTAAAGAAATGTCCCTCCAATTCAGGGGCACTGTTTCAGGTCCCGAATGAATTACGCAGCTATCAGTGATTCAGGCAAACACCCCGGACGCAGTTTCCCCTCCTCACTGTGGAGTCGGGTCACCTGAAGCTGCCACACCGTGACGGCTGCTGAGTGCACGACAGGCAGGGAGCAGGACAGCGTGGGATTTCATCGCACTACTCAGAGAACAGTGCGATTGAAAATGTGAGTTTATTCTGAAATTGGCCCTTTGCTATTTTTGGACCGCAGATGACCAGAGGTAACTGAAGCCTGGGAGAGCAAAACATGGAGGATTGGCGGGGGGGAGGGGGCGGGTCGGCGGCTACCGTGCTCAGGAGACCTCAAACTTAAACTTACCCTCTGGGAATTTGGAATTCGGGGCTCCATGGAATTACTGGCATCTTGGAGAACTTTAGTGGAAGAACTAGTTTTGTATTTTTTCCCCTTCAGTCTGTTGACAAAGAGGAGCTTTGCAGAAGGTTTGGCAATGAGAGGTTTTTGTTTACCAAGAATTTCACTGTTCCAGTTCTGTACCTACAAAAAGATAAATGTAAATGTAAAGCAGGACCTGAAAAATATACTGCAATTGTTTCTGGGTTCCTATAATATTAACCTGCCTTCCTCCCATTTAGTATTGGGGGAGTGAGGCTTAGATCTTTCCATAAATACCTTCTTGCCAGGATATTTCACTATTTTCAACAGCTTGTGCCAGATATATACTGTGGATCTCCCATTACCAAAACAATATGGTGGCTTTTAAAGCTCACGAATAAGAGCCCTGACCTCTGTGACTGAGTTTGATGTCGTCCTGTAAACCAAAAGGTCGCCAGTTCGAGTCCTGGTCAAGGCCTATGCCTGGGTTGTGGGTTCGCTCCTTGGTCCAGGCACATACAAGACACAATGGGTCCATATTTCTCTCCCTCTCCTTCTCCCTCCCTTCCCCTCCCTAAAAATAAAAACTAAAAACCTAAAAATAAGAAAGTTTGGCAAATCCCGTAACATTGCAATTTAAATCATCAGAGAAAGAGCCAACGTTTTATTCTGGATGTGAAATACTTAAATCTATTGTTACTGGAAATTGGGGCTGTATGTGTTAATTCTCACCTGAGGACATGTTCACCAATTTTAGAAACACTGATTGATTCTCCCCCACCCCCACCCCGCACGTGTCCAGACCGGCGATCGCACCCGCAGCCTGCGGAGTGTTCCAGCTGCAGGAGCCGCCTGGTCAGGGCGGAAGCATGTAAAACTTAACATCTAAACCTCACACAGCAGCAGTAGTTTTTTGTCAATAGAACTGTACTGTTTTCACTAACAATAATAAATTCTCAATAGGCAAAACGTCTAATTGGAAATTGTTATCTGGTTTAAACAATCTTTTTTAAATGGTAAAATAGAGGTACATTTTAAGTTTTAAAATTTTTCTATTAGCGTTGACATACAATATCAGTTTCAGGTATACAAGCTGGTGATTAGACACTTACATGCCTTTTAGTGATATCCCCCCATTAAGTCTGGTACCCACCTGACCCCATGCGCAGTTACTACCGTATCAGGCTGCGTCCCTTGTCCCATTTACATCCCGTGACTGTGCTGTAACTGCCGGTCTGCACACCCTAATCCCCTGCACCTGCTGCGCTCGCCCCGTCCCATCTGGCAACACTGTTTTCTGTATCTATGAGTTTGTTTCTGTTTTATATAACTACTTTTTTTTTTTTAATTTTTGATTTTAGAGAGAGAGAGGGAGAGAAACATCAACCAGTCACCTTCTGCACACGCTTCGACCAGGGACCTGGCCCACACCCCAGGCGTGTATCCTGACTGGGAATCAAACCAGGTTACCTTTAGGTTTGTGGGAGGACACCCAACCCACTGAGCCAGAAGGCCAGGGCATATAACTACCTTTAAATAACATTCCAAATGTGTTTTCACTGCAACAGAAAAATACAAAGTGCATATTGTAGCTATGTGACACTTAAGAGTCTTGACATTCAGTCTTAAGTGTTACTCATAAAAGTTCCATGTTATGTAGTAAATGATGAGGCACATTTTTCCATAGGCGCACACAGAGTCACATGCACAGACTGCAAGTGTGGAGCTGGAGGTTATCGAATCCCTGCCCCAGTCAGGACAGAACATTTCAACCCAGAATGTTACGCTGCCCCTGAGGCCAGAGTGTGCCATGGAGTGACGGCTACCGCGAGGCTAATGCGCTGCGGGCAGGCAGCTGGTGCGGGACCCAGACCAGCCGTCTGCAAGCACAGGGGAGCCTGACTTTCTACTTTTCAATTCCTTTTCTCACACAGGTTATAAGGAGATGATCTGCTTGGGTGAATTTCACTATATTGATCTGAGAAAAAAATAAATAGTCCTTAATGTTAGAACATAAAACTGTACCTAAATCCCAAGTGGAAATGTGGAAAGTTTTAAATGTTTTCTACATAGCTATTTGAACTTCTCAACAAAAACACTGAAGAATACAGAGTGGAACAATGTCTTCAAGATTAAGAAGGAAAGTTATTTCTAACCAATATATAGTAAAGAAAATTTCCAGTCAAATATGAGAGTAGGGAAAAAGGCATTTGTTTCAAACCTTGAAAAACAAAGAGAGAGGTACCATGCCCCTTAATTTCAAACTAAACTATACTACAAAGCTACAGTAATCAAAATAGTAGGGTATTGGAATAAAAACACACAGATCAATGGAACAGAGTGCCCAAAAATAAATCCTCACCTTTCTGGTCAGTCAGTCTCATAAAGGAGGCAGGGCTATGTACAATGGAGACAGTCTCCTCAGTAAGTAGTGCTAGGAAAATGGGATGGAGGTAAAAAAATGCAACTGGGCCCCTTTCTTACATCCTATGTAAAAGTAAACTCAAAATGAATTAAAGACTTAAGTGTAAGAACGCCAACCATAAAACCTCCAGAAGAAAACACAGGCAGTGTAAGAACGCCAACCATAAAACCTCCAGAAGAAAACACAGGCAGTAAACTCTGACATCAGTCTTGGCAATGCCTTTTTGGCCGTATCTCCTCCAGCAAGGGCAACAAAAGCAAAAATAGACAAACAGGATTACACTGAACTGGAAAGTTACTGCATAGTGAAGGAAAGCAACGAAATGAAAAGACACCCTACTGAGTGGGAGAAGGTACTCTCAAATGACACATCTGATAAGGAGTTAATAATATCAAAATTGATAAGGAACTCCTACTGCTTCACACACAAACGCCAATTCAATTAAAAAATAGGCAGAGGATGTGGGCAGACATTTCTCCCAAGTCATACAGATAGTCAATTCAACATCACTAATCACCAGGAAGTACAAACCAGAACCACAATTAAGATACTAACTCAGGCCTGTCAGAGTGACTATCATCAAAAAATCAACGAGTGGTTGGCAAGGATGTGTTGAAAATGGGACCCGCGTGCACTGTTGATGGGATTACAGACTGGTGCAGCCACTACGGAAAACTAGAGGTTTCCCCAAAAACTAACAATAGAACTATTATATGACCCAGCAATTTCACTTCTGGGTATTTACCCAAAGAAAACGAAAACACTACTTTGAAAAGATACATGCACTCCTGTGTTCATTGCAGCACTTCCTTTTTTTAAGTAGCTAAGGTATGGAAGTGACCTAGGTGTCCACTGATGGGTGACAAATTACGGTAGGCACAGTTCTGCACCGCATTAACCATGTTTTGGTCCCAGTCACGGACCATGTATGCAGTAGCGGTGCTGTAAGATTATAATGGAGCTGACACACTCCTATCACCTAGTGACAATCCTCGCTATGCATTACTCCTGTGTCTGTGGTGGTGCTGGTATAAACAAACCCACGCTGCCTGACGTACAAAATACAGCACTGACGAAGAATACTTGATGATAAAGGACTATGCCTCTTAGAGTGTGCTCTTTCTACTTAATTTAGCAATGTGCCATAAAGCCCTCTGTTAAAACAGAAGCAGCCTCGTGCATCTGTTTACTGCATCGCTCGGTTGCATCCTCCTCTCGCACTCAACTGAACCTCATGCCGTTTTGTACAGTAATGCGCTGCCCGGGCGTGCCACCCGGGGGCCACCGGCTGTGCCTTTCAGCCCAGGTGTGCAGCAGGCCGCACCACCTAGGGCCGTGGGAGAGCACGCGGTGAGTCCCCCCGAGGAAGAAGCGGCCTGGCGACGCATTTCTGGGTCCCTTCCAGAAATGCCTTGGAGAGTATTGAAAAAGAATTAAATCTTGCCATTTGTATTGACATGGCTGGCCCTTTAGGGTGTTACGATAACGGAAATCTGACAAAGATAAACACAAGATCTCGTCTGTATGTGGAATGTAAACAAAAAAACCCCAAGCTCACAGATGCAGAGAATAGACTGGTAGTTGCCACAGATGGGGGGTGGGCGTGGATGAAAGGGGTGAAGGGAGTCAGAAGGAAGGAACTTCCGGTTGTAGAGGGAGGGAGGAAGATGTGGCGCACAGCAGGGCGGCTGCAGTTAATCCTGTCTCACCCGGAAGGTGCTAAGAGTAGTCAGGCCTCATCACAAGAAACAGTTATGTAGTTACGGTGAGAATGTTTACCAGACAAACTGATCATTTTGCAATATATGCAATATCAAGTCCATATGTTGTACACCTGAAACTAACATAACCAATTAAAATGAGAGCTTACATGGGGGGGGGGTGTGCAAAAAACATCACGAATATTTGAAAGTTATAAATTTTAGCAAGCAGCCAAGTCTGTATATATGGAATCCACAAATGAGAACTGTACATTAAAAATAAATTTTGTAATTTTATAAAAAAAATAAGTTGAAAGTTACTAAAAGTATTACAATAATTCAAGAAAATTAAAAACTGCCAACCTTTTCTGGTGTTAACTTCATAAGTTCCATGTTTTCCATACTGTGTCGGCGTCCAGACTTAGGCCGTGCACCTTTGAAAAAACAAGTAATTTAAATAAAGCAAGGAGACCTTAAGACGATAAATTTAGCATCACTACAATTTGTTTAGACACTAACTTTGATTACTAACATTAACCCTTATAACAACTAGTTTTTTACTATCTAGTTTCTTAAAAATGAAATAACCCAAAAAAGTGGAGAGTGGTTTAAATAAGTAAGAACATAAAGGCTTTAGGCCTTCAATATTGAATTTAGAATCAAAATAACATCCCCAGTATTATATTATTACTTGAGAGTTACCTATTTCCATTTTAAGATCTCTGACAGATTTACTGCCAGTCAGAAAACATGATAAAAAGTTACTCATTTTTTTCAGTACTCAGTATTCACCATTAAATATAAAACCACCTTCCTATCCCCTCGGTCTTTTAAAGATAGCATTTTAGAAGACATGACACACTCCCAGGCTAAAAATAAACCACTACCAACACATCAACTCCCCCCATAACTCCTCTCCCTTCCCGTAATTTTTCATTACATACATATCTAAGCAATAACGCATATAACTACATAAATGGCCTCATACTGTACACATCCTCTAACTTGTTTCCTTTGAGCAACCTTAAATTTGTGAGAATCATCGAAGTTGGTTTGTGTGGTTTAGTTTAACTAGTTTTCATTGCCTTTTTAGGACTAGGAAATTATTTACTTACTCGTTCTACTGGGACAGAGAGGTGGCTTCAATTTTTTATTATAAGCAATTCTACTCCAAAAAATCCAGGACATCATCTTAGTACGTGTGAGCAAGTGTTTCTCCCTGTCAGGTTTTCAGGGTATGAAACTGGAGAATTGCTGGATCATAAGGTTGCGCCATCTTCAACTTTACCAGAATGTTGCCACGTTGTTCTTGAAAATGCCCCAATTGCTAGACCTGTCCACCCCCACATTGTTCCAGCCCTGGTCTTATTAAAAAGCAGTCAGGAGAAGTCAGGAGAAGTCATGTGCGCCCTAGCCAGTATGGCTCAGTGGGTTGAGCGCCAGCCTGCAAACCAAAAGGTCACTGGTTCGATTCCTGGCCAGGGCGCATGCCTGGGTAGTGGGCCAGGTCCCCCATTGGGGGTATGTAAGAAATCAATTGGTGTTTCTCTCACATATCAATGTTTCTCTCTCTCTCTCCCCCCCCCCCTCCCTTCCTCTCTCTCAAAAAAGTCAGGTGCTGGTTCGTACCAGGCCGCGTCTCTCTCCTCCACGCAGGCTGTCAGAATGACTTCCCTGTGGTGTTCCCGGGGTCAGGGATGTTACGTCTCTCTCCACGTACTTGTGGGCTATTTGTGTTTCTCTTCTGGGCGTCACTTTTGCCCGTTTTTCAGTTGGGTCATTAGTCTTGGTTCTAATTCACAGGAGCTCTTACACATTAAATAGGGATAAAAATCCTATTTAGTCATACGTGTGGCAAATGTCCTCTGTGTGTTCTATCTCGTTATGGTTTCTTTTAATGAAATGAAGTTCTTGTCTTGAGACAGCGCTCCTCTCTCTGGCACCAGAGGGCGCACAGCATCCCAGCTCCAGAGGCAGGCCGCTCACTTGCACACTCGCTCTGTCCGACTCAGCTTTCTCATCTTGAAAGAGCAATACCTGCCCAGCAACATGGTGTGATGATAACTCATCGTTATCTGTGAGGGAGTCCTCAGTACAATGCCTGGTAGGTAGCGAACATTCAGCCAGTGCTAGCTAGCGTCATCACTACTGTTGCTTTAAATGTCTTCCATATTTAAATCTTTCATCCAGTAAGAATGAATTTTTGTGAGATACTAGTTTCCATATATGCAAGGAATATAACTGCAGGCTCTGTATTCACTTACACTGGTCTGTCTTGATGCCAACAGCACAGAATCTTAATTCTTGTAGCTTTAAAACCTTTGTATCTTCAGATAATTTCAAGAAATCCCATTTCTTGTTCTTCATCAGGAATGTTTTGCTTCAAGTTCTCAGACCTTTTTTGCTTTCATATATATCAAATGAAAGTGACCACATCAAGTTTCCCAAAGTACCTCGTGAATTGCTTACCCCGCGACACCCAACCAGCCAGGGCAAGCCAGCCAGGCCCCTTCATGTCTGACGAGACCTTCTGCCTTAACGTACATGCCATCTGATGTCAATAGAGCTATACGAGCTTTCTTTTGATTAGTTTTTCCTAATTGTCTTTGGTACTTTCAGGCTTATGGCAGCCTTACATTTTAGGTATTTCTCTTGTGGTAGTTGGATTTTACTTTTTCTAATCTGATATTCCTGCCCTTTAAATGGAACATCTACATTTAACAGAGTTAATGATGTGTTTGGATATTCAGGCTGTGTTCTCCTTTACTGTGTTTACTGGTGAATTACAGTAAGTGATTTCCTAATGTTCAATCCATTTGCATTCCTGTTTGTTTTAAATGCACTGCTGGATTAGGTTTGCTAGTATCTTGTTTAGACGTTTTGCATCGATGTGCGTGAGTGAAGACCGCTCATAATCCGCCTTTCTTGTGCTGTTCTTGTCTAGTTTGGATGTCAAGGTCATGCTGTTCTAAGACTGAGAAACTGTTCCCACCTTTCTGTGGGAGTTTGGAATTGGTTTTCTTGAGTGTCTGGTGTACCTCACTTGTAAGCCTCCTGGGCCACATGTTGTCAGTGGAAGGTTTTCTAATCACTGATCATTTCTTACATTTCAGGCTTCGCAATGCGACTCCCGTCCCTTCGGCCAGGAGGCACTTCTGTTTTTTTCTTTTTTTAAAAAAAAGATTTTATTTTGAGAAAGGAGAACTGAGGGAGAAAGTGGGAGAGAAACATTAATGTCTGGTTGCCTCTCGAGAACCGGGGGCCTGGCCCACAGCCCAGGCCTGCACCCCGACAGGGAACCGAACCGGCGGCCCCGTGGTTCGCAGGCCGGCACTCCGTCCACTGGGCCACGCCAGCCGGGGCTTTTCCATTTTTTCTTGATTTAGTTTCAGTAACTTGTTTTTCTAGAAACTGTCCATTTCTTCTGGGTTTTACAAAATTATTCAGGATAAGCTCTTGCTGAATTTCTATTATGTCCTCTTCTCCCTCTTTTCTTGAATAATCTTGCTGTAGATCTGTTTGTCTTTCTGAAGAACCAAATTTGGGTTTATAAAAGGTCCCCTGAATTTTTGTTTCAGTTTCATTGTGTTAATAAAATGTTGAACTTCCGATGTTATATAGTCTCTCTGGATATGGTAAAAATGTAATGACTGATTTAAATATAAAACCTGAAGATAAAGAAGTTGGGTTTTGAAGACCTGCTACTTACTGTGCACGCTGTTATCAATTTCCACATTTTCGGACATTACTGAATTATTTGTGCTGTAGCTCAGACCGAGAACCACCTGGAGATCGGAGAGATTCAGCCGCGCTGTTAGTTCACCGCTTCTGTCCCCAACCTACAACCACAAGCATTTATATTTTAGGGTAAAGACAGAATGGTGAAGACCAATTGAAAATTGTGAAACTAAAACTGAATGAAAATAGTTTTATTGGAATTATGAGACTATAAATGAAGTAGTTTTTTTAAAGAAGAAAAAGGAAGTTTCTAAAATATGACGGTAGGACAGCTGATCACAGTCTCTCAGTTCTTTAGTTCCCTAGATACTGGACGGCTCTTCATCTCTGCACTCGAATGTTGTTCTTCTGTGACAACTGACTTGGCATCATATGAGTTTAAACTTCCTCAGACTATTTTATTTCCATATTGTATTAATAATTAACATTTATTCATAACCCAGGACTAGACATTATTCTTGGCACTTTTATATACATAACCTCTAATCCGTATAATGATCTGCAAGGTAGATATTCCCATTTTACAGATGAGAGGAATGAGGCTCAGAAAGGTTTCCAAGCTCAAATAGCTGCAGGTGGCAGAGCTGTTAACTGGGGCCAGCCCTTGCTTCTAAAGCCACATTTTCCTTCCACAGAGGCCTGCGGCCACAGAGAAATGGGGACAGGGCGCAGGCAGAGGCCCGGGATCTCCCCGTCCCCAGCGCCCGGCCTTACCTTCCCACATCGGGGCCAGTGCGCGCACACCTCTCGTCAGGACCGCAGACTTTCTGCAGTCCTGGTGCCAAGAGAAAACTACGTAATAAATGTATCTCTCAGCCATCCAGGAGCAATCTGGAGAAGTAACAGGGCTGTCCCCTGCTGGTTTGTAATTCACAGTAGCACAGACAGCAATTTCTTAGCTTCCTACCTCTCTTGAAATTTCCAAGTGCTTTTCAGCAAAATGCATGGCTTGGTCATGATTTCCTAGAGCTGTATACGCGTTTCCCAAACTCCAACACGCTCTTCCTTCCCCGATCCTATGGAATGATCCAGAACATGCAGTCACCTGAAGGTTGCCTGTGTGGGAACAAGGCTACCCAGCAGTACTTAAAAGTACGAACAGTGCTCTGCATTTATTTGGTATCAGATATAAAGTACATACTATCACAATACTAGGGACGTTAGAATACCCAGATAACAGTGAAAACCCAGAGCAAGTATTAAAACGCCCCCTTTTAAACATGCACTGCATTGTAGCATAACAAAGTCTCAGGGACAGGACTTCTAGCTCACGCACCCCGCTGTCTTTCCAGGCAGCCCCAAGATGACCCTCAGCCGTGCCCGACCACCATCGGGGGCGCGAACCCACTCCTCCGAGGTGGTGCACTCACAACTGTAGAGAGAAGGTCTCCGTCCAGAGCTAAATCTAGTTTCCTAAAGTAAACAACACAGACTAAAGGCCTGCATATATGTGCTGTGTTTTCATTCAGTTAAAAAAAAGAAAAAGGAATTAGCAACATTAAAAATCAGAAGACACATACAGAACTCAGGACTTCCAGCTTCTCTTAAAAAGAGGAGGAACTGGACGCAGTGGACGCTCGCTCCTGGTGGCAGCCATCAGCGGGGGGCCGGGGGGATGCGGTCCCCGTCACACCAGGCCGCGTGGCAGTTCCTCCAGTGCCACCCTGAGCGGGTCAGGGGACCTCTGCGGGTAGGGGAGTCGGTGACCTATGTACTGATGGCGACCTAGAGCCAGACTGGTCTCTAACACACGCTGGCCTTTCAGACAATAACATGGAGAGGCTGTCAGGGACACAGAGGGAATCCCTTACAAAAGAAACACACACAAACTTTACGGAAGACAAAGCAGAAATTCTTGGAGCTGAACGACGACGCGTCCATGTTGCACCATCGCTGTAATGACACGGTGTGCGGCTCACCTGTCCTTTAGCTCCTGAGCGATGGCCAAGTGCTTCAGGTGATAGTCGATGGCCTTCTCGTAGTCCCGCAGCAAAGTGTGCGTGTTCCCGAGGCTGTAGCAGGACTGCGCCTCCACGGCTCTGTCTTTAAGCTGCCGGGCCAGGAGTAGCGTCTTTCTAAAAGGAGGCGTTAACTCTGACATAATCTTCGTATTTTTGGCTATAATTGTAAAGTAACACTCTCCCTTTTCAGGGAGTAAACTGCATTACAGCCTAGTACCCTACACTCTCTCCGCCGTTTCCAGACAAAAGGAAAAGACGTCTCTGAAACTTGAAAAGCAGATCCAGGCTTTTCTAATTAATTGAGGGTCCTGTTAATTTTCCACAGAAAAGGAGTAATGACGTGTGAGATCAAGTGCTTCCCATGAACACAGCCTGTTTAACACGTAAGGAGGCTTTCCCTGTTGCAGAGGTAGTAACTGAAAATAAGAGACATTGCTCACATAGCCTCTCTTTTTAATCATACTGTTGCCTTTACGTTTTGTCAGAATTTAAAATACTGAGTTAAAATTCTTATTTGTAGGCCATCAGTCACCAATTCATGAAAAATATTAAGTACTACATTTAAACATTAACCAAATGCTACCCAATGCATATGGAACTGTCAATGGGAAGCTGAGAAGCCAGCGTAGCAGTTCAGAGCGAGACTTCTGGGCCCAAACCCCACGTGGCTCTGATCATGCCACGCCCCTCCACGTGAAGTGGGGAAACACCTCACGGGGTTTTGTGAGCGCTAAATAAATTAGTGCACACAGTGCTAAGGACAGCATTTTGCTCACAGGAAATGCTAATAAAGGTTAAGACTGTTTTTGTTATTATCAGTGCTTAAACCTAGAAATGCTTTTAAGATTTTGTTTACTTTTAGAGAGAGGGGGAGGGAGAGAAGAAGAGGGAACAAAACATCGCTGTGCAAGAGAAACATCAATCGATTGCCTCTCGCACGCCCCCACCGGGGGACTGAACCCACAACCCAGGCATGTGCCCTGCCAGAAATCGAACCGGCGACCTTCCGATCTGCAGGATGATGCCAATGCACTGAGCCTCACCATCAGGGCATGTAAATGCTTATGGGTCCAGTAATTTAAATGACTCTTTCCTCTAGTTTCTGCCAAATAATATAAACACATCATTTATAACTACATGAAAAAATAAGTGTGATAATGTGATAGTTTTTTTCAAGCAAACCGGCTTGAAACAACATATTTACTGAGGACACCTTCAAAACTGTCACCTTGGGAAGCTATGCACTTGTTTTACCGTAGCCTGTCCTCTCGGACGTCCCTGCGGGACAGCGCTCTTCTTCAGGGTAGAGTTACTTGTTGGTGGCCAGGAATCTTCCTGGAACCAAATTCAATGACTAAAGTCGGTTTACTGTACTGTTTTCTATCCTGAAGGATATAGAGCTATGTGAGAGAGTCTCATGAGGCCCTGAAAATGTTTCCAAAGGAGAGGTCCAAAAATACTGGTTAAAAATGTATGTGAAGCTGAGCTCTAGGGCGAGGTGTGGGGTAGGTTTGACTACTTCATGCTCATGCTTTGTTAGTCCAATAGCTGTCATCTACTTTCTTGCAGAACTTTTCAATATTTAATACAAGAGCACCATTTATTAAGACTTTACCATGTCTTTTAGCTTTAAAATATAAGAAACATTTCAAATCAAAATATATACTCTATATAGTGGTATATTTTACTTGGGAGGATATACCTAAGCAATCAACAAATATTAACCATTCAATTGATGTTTAAATAAGGTGGGATGACATTCTAGTTATTTACACGGGCCTAAAGCAATTCCACCTTTTTTAGATGACAAACTACTCAGAACTCTCTCACACTGGATTCTTTCACAACAAACTACAAAGTAATCGCTGTGTCTTTGGGTTGCCGGTCCGGCTCGGCCCGGCCTGTGTGGCCTCAGGCCCCGCTCATCGGGCTGCTCTCCAAGCACCGCGGGCACGCAGCCCGGGCTCCTAAGGCCGGCCAAGCTCTGCGCCGTCTGTGGCTCCAGCGGCGGAGGACCCCCCACCCCCTGGGAGGGCCGCCGTCAGGGGCGGGGCGGGGTTGGGGGGCGGGCGGTTGCTAGGACTGCGCGGCCAAGGAGAGGTGTGAGGGTGGGAGAGGTTACTGCTGGTTTTGGGGGGGCCGGGGGGAGTTAGGCTTTGTTACCAGGCTTTCTTTTGGCCTCTCTGCAAATTGCTTGGGGCGGGGCGGGGTGGGGGGAGGTGCAGGAAGAATACGCATGTACATACTACAGATGCTAAACAAGAATTTCATTTTAAAAGTTTTAAAAGTAAAAAGTATAAAAGGGTCATACCGCAGCTACTAAATCTTAGATACAATAATATTTATGGGACACTGTGCCAGGTGCTATGCTAAGTAAGTGCTTAATATAGGCTTCCCTTCCCCGCTCTGAGCGGTCCCCAAGGCAGGGGACCGGTATCTTCTTTTACCGTGAGGAAGCCGAGGTGTAGGAGACCAAGGCCCTGCTGCTCCTGTGCAGCAAAGGGCAGGTTTCACACCTGCCTAGGACTTAACAGGATTGCACAGCTACTCATTTCCGATTTATCTACAGAAATATCACACTAACTTGTAGTATTCAGAGGCCATTTCAAATTCACCAAGAAATATGTATGCATTTCCAAGATTGCTGTACGCTCTTCTTTCGGCTGCTTTATCCCCAAATTCTTTTGCAATAAGGAGACGCTGAAAGAGAAAGCTTTGATTAGATACAGGACGGAAAGATCATCTCATCACAGCACAGCACGCGAGGGAGAAGAGACCAGCCCCAGGGCCCGCACCGCACCTGCTCGTGCGCTATGACCGCGTCCCGGAAGTTGCCCAGCAGGTAATGCGTGTTTCCGAGGTTTCCGAAGGCGCGTCCTTGGGCAGCTCGGTCACCCAGCGCCGTCACTAGTGATAAGTTTTCCCTGGGTGGTAGCAAAAAGGTTGTAAAATACAAGGTTGGGGTAGCGGGTTCTACTGATTACAGGCCTAAGTCTTTTTATAAAAAAAATTTTAATAAGCGTACAGCCACATTTTAGAGTTGGAGGGTGGTTACAGGAACTGGCTGGGGGCGCTTTACTAAACCACCCAGGGAGGTTCCTGCCCAGAGGCAAGGACGGAGTTAATCCTGAAGCCCCATGGGGCAAAAACTGGGACAACTGTAACTGAACAACAATACACACAAAAAAGAAACCCCTGAGCTAAGAAGTTCTATGAAATTCTATGAAATCCTCTTAATAGGAGACGCAACTTTCCCCAAGGAACTGAGACTAACCACTGGTCCTTGTTTCTGCCCCTAGGAGGCACTGCCCTGCAGCTCCCATGAAACTTCCTGGGGAGGGGATTACCCCAACGCGACTCTAACCTCGTAGCAACAATTTGATGGTTTATTTTTACTTGCTAGTCCCTAATTTTAAGACTTTTGCCAGACATTAAAGCTTCCTAGAGGGTAAAGACCACTTGGTACCCCCCAGCACGGGGGGCCGCGTGGCTGAGCAGCACCACTCACTCATAAAAATCCACGGCAGCCTGCAGGGCGCTGCGCACTTCTTCTGGGAAGTCGCCTGCGTCCTGAGGCCCAGGGCCGCCGAAGCTCTTCCCTTTGGCATGGTACACGTTTCCAAGGTTATAAAGGGCTCTGGCTTCTCCCACCTGGAGGAAGAGGTCAGCACTTTGAAATCAGAGGTCAGGTATTATAATGCCTATCACACGCAAGTAAGTGTACGTGATAGGCATTGTAATAATCCTTCATATTATAGTCAAGGAAAAGAAAGGTTTACATTGGCTGTTCAAACAGAACCAAACTAATGGTAACGTATGAAAGAAGGATCTCTCATTATTTACCTTTTTCCTCTATTTAAAAATCTGTATGTTTCACCCTGGCTGGTGTGGCCCAGTGGATTGAGCGCTGGCCTGCAAACCAAAGGGTCGCAGGTTTGATTCCCAGTCAGGGCACATGCCTGGGTTGCAGGCCAGGTCCCAAGGGTGGGCATACAAAGGCAACCACACATTGATGTTTCTCTCCGTCTTTCTCCCCCCCCCAAAAAGAAAGAAATAAAATATTTAAAAAATTTGTATGTTTCTTTTTCTTCTATTTTTCTACAATTTTTTTTTTTTTGGTATTAACTTTCAGATACACTACTAAATGATTAAAGAGAGAATTAAAACACAAAGCAATTTCAAAGAAAAAAATGTTTCTTTATTACCTTGTCATTAAGTTTTCTGGAAATATCTAAGTGTCGCTGACAGCAAACTATGGCTTCATCAAAATTTCCGAGAACTTTTAAGGTGTTTCCCAGATTACCACTAGCTTTAGCTTCCCCCAGCTGGTCTCCAATAGTCCTGGAAAAAAAAAAAAAAAAGAAAAAGACAGCAAACTGTATTAAAATGTAAAGTGGTCAGAGTACAATTTTCTCTAGAGGACAGTTAACTTGCTTAAGGTAAGAAAGACCCATTAGCCTTGAAACCTACTTTGAATAAAAATTTAAAACTTACATTTCTGTATTTAAGTTTAATTAATTTTCATTCATTTGATTAACCTCTAGGGTCATTTCTATACTATCATTTAATTAAACTCAGCCTGAAGAGTCATTTTAAAATGCAATGCTATTTAATTAAAACTCACTAAATGTATCTAGTTTGTTTTTAATTGAATGCGAATAATTTGAAAGTGACAATATTGGGAGAAAGAACATTAAAAAGCTTAAATTAACTACCTTGCAAGAGTTAAGTCGTGATGGTGGTATTCCAGTGCTTTGGCATAATCGTGCAGATAGAAGTATGCGTTGCCCAGCTGGCTGTAAATGGCGCTGAGTGTCTTTAGGTCCTCAGTTCCAACTTGAACCGCAGCTTCAAAGAACGACACCCCAGCGCGGCAGTCGCCTGATTTACACAGCCGCTCCCCTTCCAAGGCCAGTTCTAGGCAAGAAGCTTCCATCCTACAAAATGATGCACAACAGACATTAACGACATTACGCTATAGCTGCACCAGGGTTTTTAGCTTCCAGTACTGTCACTGAAGTGTGGATTATGGCTGCCCTTGTTCAGAAAAGCTGCCTCTGTAACTGAAGTATGTATACAGGCCTGATGACAGAGTAAACCATTATTTACAGCAAGAGTTCATTTGCCTATTCAAATGTCTCTGAGCCTCCAAGTCTTTTATATAGAAAAGCCAAGTATATATTTTTTTAAAGATTTTATTTATTTTTAGAGAGGGGGGAGAGGAAAAGAGAGGGAGAGAAACATCAATGTGTGGTTGCCTCTCATACACCTCCCTCCTGGGGGCCTGGCCTGCAACCCAGGCATGGGCCCTGCCTGGGAATCGAACCGGCAACCCTTTAGGTTGCAGGCTGGTGCTCAAACCACTGAGCCACACCAGCCAGGGCTAAATCTCTATGGAGCCCATTTGAACTGCCCCCTCCCCACCAACAACCTGCTTTACCAATGAGAGAACCTAAAACAGTGTTTTCTGAACTGTCCTCAGACTTAGTGACTTCCTGAGAGTTTGGGGAGAATGGGATGCCTGAGCACAGTGAAGTCCCGCAGTCCCACTGTCCTCGGTGCAGGCGTCTGGGTTGTCTCCTCACCCGCCCACCAGCCAGCCCCTCCTCCCAGCTCGCTCTTGGGACAGTCACGCTGCCTCTCATCCACTCCTCCCTCTCAGGGCCCCCACACAAGCACCTGTGCCTTAGAGCTCTAGGGGCAAAATACCGGCTCTATTTACAGAGCACACGAGGTGCACGAGAGCGCTAAATGTCAAGAAATTTTACATTGGAAAGCAAGGACTCAAAGATTTGCAGAAATTCTAATTCTCAGCCTGTCACTGAATTTTAAAGCCAGAAGAATTATATTACTGTAAATCTAGGGAGAAAAAGCACTGATCCTTTGGGTTCTAATCCTGAACATCAGGAGGTGCCCTTCGCCGAGGTTGCTGTTGTGCTCCTTCAACACTTCTGTGGCTTCTGCCATGTCTCCATACTACCTGATCATTCACTTAAACGGGTTTCTATAATTTGGCAAATGTATTTTAAAATGACATGCGTCATTAAAAAAATCTGACTTCCTACCTGTGAAACTGACTTTGACGTGGTATGTTTACTTTTTTAAAAACATTAAAACAACGGTGTAACTACTGAAATAGAAAAGCAAATACAATCCCCATATGCACGGCCAGGGGCATGCCTGTCACCCGCTGGAAAACTCGGGTTCAGCGCCTCCATTCTGGTGTGGCACTAAATGACACCCCACCAGTGAGTGTCCCGTGAGTGGGTCCCGGCGCCGGCCCCTCACTGGTGTGAGGTCTGAACAGCGTGTTTTTTTGAAGTCGCCAGGTCATTTCAACGCACGGGTTGACAATCACTGCTCGACAGGAAACATGAGTTAAACAGCCATTCATCCAAAACGCGTTCAAGTGTGACTATACTTCTGTATTTCTAGTAACAGGCCAGGTAACATGCTCTTCAGGGGCTGCGAGGTTCCTCAGAGCCATGGACGAAGATGGAACTGGGACCGTGGAAAGTCAACCTGTGAGGCCCACGAGAAACCTGGACGCCGGATGAGAGCCAACGACGAAGGGTCAGAGCTGGCTGCTGGGTCGCGGTGGCAGATTTACGTTCCCTCTGGGAGGGAATTTTCAAGTTTTACATCCAGAAATTTTCTTTTTAAATAATTCAACTGATTTAGCCAAAGGCCCCTGTGGGTCCACAGTTAGCCTGGGATTTCACCCGTACCCACGGGCCCATGCACCGCAAGGCGAGTGACCCGCCACCAGACGTCATTCTGCGTCAGCCTCAGGCCGGGTCGGGTGTAGGAGGGAAGGTCCGAAGCGCAGGGAAAGCCAGGTAAGTCGGAAAACGTAGACTGTTACATTTATGTCATTTCAAATGATAGTCTATTTTTGTCTTTCACAAGTGAAAACTGTCCTTTTGAACTATATTGTTGAAAATGAAAGAATTCACAAAAGACAATTATTGGCGTATTTCTGTTTAAGGTTTTATGAGGTTGCTGGTACAGTATTCTATGTGTGAAGAGAAATGAGTCAGCAAAACAATAATATGTAAAAGTGTGATTTTATTAAAGTGTTCTTTTGCTAAATGAGGTATTTGAACTAGTTTTCTTTGTCTGACTACTGAAACCAATGAACTCCTAAGAATTATCATAGGAAAACAACTGAAAAAATATTTTTACATATAAAATACATTACTTTTTCTATTAAAACTTTTAAATTTAAGTCTGATACTAATTTTGTAAATATATATTGAGCAATTTCACTGCTAGGAAATATGTACATATTAGCTACATGTATACATATAAGCTATATGTAAAAGGATGTTCATAGCGCAAAAAAACACAGACAACTTAAATGTCCATTAACAGAATACCGGTTTAAAAATTTTCATGTGGTTGATCAATGGACTACTCATGACAGCCCATGATGTCGGGGGCGGGAGGGACAGTCCCACACAGCAGCCCCATGAGTTCGGGGTGACGAGGCTGCTGACCAGGAGCCCAGGGAGAAGGCAGAGCCAGCTCAGCGTGTGTAAGCACGGAGAAAGAGGAGTTCACACCAGTGTTTGCCTGCACCCATATAAAACAGAGACGTGTCTTCCCTCAAATAAATGTCTTCACCACAAACGTCTGGCCTTCTGGATTCCAACTTCTACACCACTGCCCTGACCAGTGCGGCTCCGTGGGTTGGAGGGTCGTCCCGCGAACCAAAAGGTCGCTGGTTCGATCCCCAGTCCAGGGCACCTGCCTGGGCTGCGGGCTCAGGGTGTGTGCAAGAGGCAGCCAACAGTTGGTTTCTCACTCACATCAATGTTTCCCTCTTTCTCTCCCTCCCTCCCCCTTTCTCTAAAAATAAATTTTTTAAAATAAAATTTATAAAATGTTATACTGACACCATTATCCAAATGATGGAGCAATTAAAATCTGGCTATAGGACGAATGGCATCCCATGAGCTACAAACTTTTCAGAAGGCACTTTGCGTAATTCCCATGAGGAACGCGGAGAGGCCGGGAGGCGCAGCGTCCTCGGCCGCAGCGTCCACGGGGCGCGGCTGCCCTGCAGATGGACCGCCCGGGGAAAGCTGTTTCAGTAACTCATGCCTGGAATAAAGTTCCAGAATCTCCCATCTATGATTCTTTCTGAGGTATATTATGGCCCTGGTTTATTTTTATCAGAAAGAAGTCAATATTCTGGCAAAATCTCCAACACCACAATCAAATCTATCTCATTGCAAAGTAGTCAAGGCAGGTTGGCTTATAAATATTTTAGATCATTAAATAGTAACAGAGAAAGTAATTTCATACCCTCCCTGTCTCTATGAGAATAGAATTACTCCATTTGTTTACCAGTTGGGCTGGAAACAAAGAACACGCCCAGAGTAGAAGGCAAACAGGGAATAAATATGTTAAGATACATCCCACTACAAAGTTTCCTTTGTTCTTCCTAATGGCCTATCTAGCTGTATAATCAAAGATCGAGTACACTTCTAATAACTATAAAATACAGTACTATCCTTGACAGAAATGTTTTCATTTTTGCTGACTGAACATTATAATTCCTCATCTTCTACACAAACTCATGCGATTTTAATTTCTATTTTTATATCTTATTATCTTTTAACTTTTCTTCCACACTAGATTTTTTTTTACCTACTTAATTTTGGTTTCTTGTGTTCAAAGTACACCAATGACAACAAAAGAGGGTTAGAACACTGATGCTGCATCGTTTTCTAAAATATTTATTGATCGATTTTACTTATTTACTGGTAAGAGGGAGCGAGAGAAACATGGATTTGTTGCTCCACTCCCTGGGGCACTGCCTGGTCGCCTCCCGCGGGCACCGCGACCGGCACCGGGCGCGCAGCCGTGGCGCACGGGGACAGCGCTCTGAAATGTGTCAACCTGTGAGGCTGAAAGATTTAATGCCGACTGTGCCCACCGGTGGCTCTCCCTTCAAAGGCTTACACAGAAGTGGAACAACAAATCAATGTTTTTCTCTCTCCCCTCCCTTCCTCTCGCTCTAAAGTCAATAAAAAAAAAAAAAGAATAAATGATGAGATTTAAGGCTCAACACCCAACACTCGGCTCTGCGTCTCCCTGTGGTTGGCAGGCGCCGTCTCCTGCGGCAGCCGAGCCTCCGCTCCCCTCCCCGCGCTCTGGTCCCACCACCAGCGGTGGCCCCACAAGTTTCTGCCCTTCCATTTGCCACGTGGACCTAGTTATTCTCCTTATTTTGTAGGGCGCACAATGATCTTGATTTAAATTCTGATTGGTAACTTAGTTTTAAAAGTGACTTTACTACATATTCAACTGAATTCAATGCTTGAAAAAGCCCTCTGAGATGGGGATTCGTACAGAAGGGGAAACTGACGCTCAGACTCCGTGACCCGCTCGGGGTCGCGCAGAGGCAACGCTGAGACACGAAACCCCGTCCCCAAACCCAGGGCCCGCGTCACCTCAAACCCTTCCTCCGGAGACAGTATTATTAACAACTACACCGACCTGGCAGAACTGCAGAATTCAACACCAAAACTGTATTTGTTTACAAATAATGTGCAATAGTCTGATTTTTTACAATATTAAAAAATAAAAAAGTATTGAAATATTTATTACTCATAGGAAAAGTATGAACAGAATTTCTCAAAGAAAAACAAAACCAGAGAAACTAGTATAATTAACCTGATATAGCCATTTTCAACACCAACAATTACCAGTATGATATATTATCAATACATTTTGTTTCTACTTCTACATGACTGTACAACCTCAGATTCTTTTTAAGTATTGTACCTTCCAAACAGCATGAGTTCATTTCTAAATATTTTAGTATGTATCTCTAAAAAATAAGCTGTTTTCAAAAAATATAATCACAATACTATTTAGATACCTAAAAAGATTAACAATAATTAAAGTTTAGAAATGAATTCCATTTTCCTATCACGCTCCATTCCTCTCTACCTTCACAATTACATTACAGAATGTTAGAAAGCATTCTAACACCTCTTATGAGGTTCCTTACTGTCCAAAGAATTATTCCATATCAAGATTACCAATCCCAGGGATAGATGAGAACCTCTGCAATGAAAGAACCAGATGGATGAAACACTAAGTGCTAAGCATTGACTAGTAACTTACATTAGGCCGTGACTCCTAACATGAGGAACACAAACTGTTACCTGCAAGCACATGACAATCTGGTCCACACACAGAAGGCTGATCTTAGAGCACTGATGAAGCCAGAGATTGGTTTGGCACATTCTGACTAAAAGTGGCTCCAGAGTTTGAAGCTTCTTGTGGGGACCGTCTATTCCAACGTTAGCCATGTCTGGCCTACGCTCTGCCGTGGAGAAAGCGTAAACTAGAGGCCTCCTGCAGGCAGGCAGCCCGCACCTCCCCACCGACTGCTCCTGCGGCATTAAGAGGCACCCCGCTCTTGAAATCTCCGCAAGTCAGAGAAACACCTTGCTCGGCTCATCGGATGGCTGTGTCCAGTGGAGTCCAATGGACATCCCATCAGATGTGGGTGCCGCCCAAGGACGGGCTGGGCATCATGGCCGCCCTGAAGGAGCCCATGGTCAAAGAAAGAGTGGCGAGGGAGGAGAAAAACATACGTTTATACGAACAGATACATTAAGTTTTTCATAGAGTTGGTACTAAGAGACAGGCACAGGAGCCCAGAGGGCTTAGAGACAAACTGTGAAGCTCAGAAACGGTTTCCAGGAGGAGAGACTCTCCTAGCCGATTCTTAGCTACTGAGCAGAATTAACTGAACAAAGAAAGTGGGCGGGACAATGACTATCCAGAGCTCCACCTGCAAGGCCAGGCCTGGAAGGAGGGGCGAAGGAGTCGGGAGAGGCCAGATAACGGAAGATTTTGGGTACAGTGCAAGCTCAGCTCTGCCTTAGAGGTGACGAGGGGCCACCCGAGGGATCCGGGGTGGGGATGGGGGTCCAACCGTTCGGCATCTCTGGGCCACACTGCAAGAAGAGTTGTCTTGGGCCACATAGTAAATACTTTGCAGCACGTAATAATAAAAAACAAAACAAAACAAAAAAACCTCATAGTGCTTTAAGTAAATTTAGGGTTTTGTGTTGGGCTGCAGGGTGGGCATCCTGGATGCAGAGCTGCGTGGCCAGCTCTGTGTCCCCTGGGGGCAAACTGAAAGGACAGGTTCTCAGAGGATGAGAATGGAGAGTCTGGAGGGAAGTGACGGGGGCCAGAGCCACAGCGGAGGCACTGGGGTGGGGGCGTCCCGATGGGGAGGTGAACCTGAGCAACACCTAGGAGGCAGAAGGGGCAGGGCCCCACACTGGATACAGAGAGTGACAAGGGACACATGTAGGTAACGCCCAGGTTTTTAGAACTCTGCCCAAAAAGGTAGACTGAGGGCCAGTCAAACATTAAAGGCTCATTTTAATTATGTTCAAGGTCATCCAATTTCTTTTTCTTGAATGTTCTATTTTTAATAGCAATGCCCTCGCCTTACCTAGATAAACTTCCTTGGCACAACACCTACCCCGAACCACCTGCTCAAAGGACGAAAATCCTGGTTCCTAAACGAGTATTAAGACATCTAAGGAGCAAAGCCTTCACTCTGAGACATTTTGAACATTCATTGCTGTATATTCTGATGTTTATTTAACATTAACTTGTAACAGTCTTGATAAAGAGTTCATTAGTACCTAATCACCTTACTAAAAATTGTGCATTCCATTCTAATATGTTTTTATTTTACAGTTTAGTGCCACGAGCAAAACTTCCAGAATAAATGTTAAATAATGATGAAGCAAATATTCTTGCTTTGTTCCCAGATGTATCAGAAATGTCATTAATATTTTATCATTAAATATTAAACTATTAGCTTATCATGTTTAGAAAAGTACCCACATATTCCAATGCTAATACCCATTTTTTTAAAAAGCTCATTTAGAAAGATTGCTGTTTAAAACTGTAACACAAAAATCAGGTCATTCAGCTGACCACATTACAAAATCCATCTTTTACTGCCAAAGATTTAGAAATATTTTTCAATTTTGCAATATATTTGCATTATATAAAGTTACAAAAAATATAAAGTAACCATTTATAAACTGTTCCACAGAACAACACTGAACAAACTACAGTACATAACTGGTTTCTACTACCATTTTCCTAAAGAGAGAATATAAAAAACCAACAACAACCACAACAAAAGAAAACTTTGTTTATAGGAAGTACTAAGTATGGCTGGTATACTTTGAATATTTTCAAAGTTCAGTTTGAAATGATCAGAGTTAAATACATATTTAAATAAGAATTAAAAATCACCCAGGAAGAAAGCAGCAGTCTTACCTGTAACGAACATGAAAAGAATGGTCTTCCCTCATGCTTATCAAATTTTCCTCCATCGAGTCATATTACAGGCTGAGTATAACATGAAATTACTTTGTTTTGTGCCAATCCAGCTCTTTACAATGTAGAATTGTTGCAGAACATTGTCCAGTCAGTATATTAATGAATTGGTGTTAATACAGCCTAAGCTCCTGCTTCTTCTTTATTAATAATGAAAGGAGGTCAATGTCAGACAGCTTAAAGGTTCAAAATGTGTCCCAATTCCTTGCATTTCTGGCCCTTTCAGCAGCACTTCAGCAACATTTCTGCAAAAGGAATACAAGAAGCTTTGCTTGAAGTCCTATTGTCACAAAGAACCTCCTTCCCAGCCGCACATAACCACGCGGCTGACCCCACAGACTGCCGCCCCGCCGGCCAGGGGACAGCCCAGGGCTTCGCTGTCCCCGTGGGGCGTCTGAGGAAGGATGGGGTGGGATTTATCTGAGCACTAAAGTTTAATTTTTAAACTGGTTTGAGTACAATTTTATGAATATTTTCTGCAATAAAAATATAGAATAGGTATGACATTATTGTCTAAAAACAAAATTATACTTTAAGCTTTAAAAAATGGCTATTAATAAGTAAAATTAAAATTCAGTAATTATTTGAACAGGTCAATTCTAAACTCTGTAAATTTATTTCTTCAAAGAAGATATTTGTGCTGTTATCTAGGTTATACTTGCACTCTCATTTGCTCTCCAAGTATATTCTATTTGAACTCTTTAAGGCCTTTGAAATGTTTTATCAGTACCGGGTAGGTGCAAAGACATGCAGGAAACATGTGTACGGCAGGACAGAGCAGACATTTACGTAACGCCACCCGGTCTAAGATAAAGACCGTCATCGCTGCCTTTGGGGTCTGCTGGGTGCGTTGACTGTCCGCCGCATTCCTTCCCCTCGAGGGTGGTGCTGGCATCGGAACAGACAGTGGCTTTAATGAAACAACAGAGAGCCCAGAAATAAACCCGCGCCTGCGTGGCCAATTAATCTGTGACAAAGGAGGCAATAACACAGGGCGGACAGTCTCTTCAGTAAGTGGTGTTGGGAAAACTGGACACGCAGATGAGAAAGAATAAAACTGGACCACTCTCTTACACAGTAAACAAGAATAAACTCAAAACAGATTTCAGACATCAATGTTAAGACTCAAAAGCATAAAACTCCTTGAAGAAAACAGTAAACTCTGTGACCTCACTCTCAGTGATATTTTGGGGAAATGTTTCCTCGGGCAAGGGAAACCAAAGAAAAAATAAATAAATGGGATTACATCAAACTAAAAAGTTCTGCACAGCGAAGGAAATGATCAACAAAACAAAAGACAACCTGCTGAATGGGAGAAGAGATTTGCCAATGATGCACCGAATAAGGGGTTACTATCCAAAAAGATAAGGAACCTCATGCAACGAGAAAAAAAAAAATCTGATGTAAAAATGGGCAGAGGACTAGAACAGACATTTCTCCAAAGTGAACATCAGACATGGAAAGGTGCTCAACCTCACTGATCGTCAGGGATGCAAATTAAAACTACGAAGGGACCTCACCGCACACCTGCCCGAACGGCCACCACCACGGGCGCCGGCCGGGAGGAGGAGAGGGGCCCCGCAGCCACAGGGGGCACGGCGTGGGGAGCCCTCAGGAAATTACAAATGGAGCGGCCATAGGAGCCAGGAATTCTACTTCTGGGTATTTAGCGGAAGCAAACAAAAACACCAATTCAAAAAATATATATATAAGCACCTCTACATGCATTTAAGCATCACTAATAATAACCAAGATACGGAACCTAGATATCCATCAATAGATCAATGACTAAAAAGGATGTGGTACGTACATACAAAGGAGTATTACTCAGACATTAAAAAGAATGAAACGTTGCCATTTACAACAACATGGATGGATCTAGAAGGTATTATGTAAAGTGAAATTAAGTTACACAGAGAAAGACAAATACCACCTAATCTTACTTATATGTGTAATCTTAAAAAAATGAATAAACAAAATGGAAACAGACTCACAGATACAAAGATGATGATGGTGGTTACCAAAGAACAGGGGTTAAGGGATGGGAATTGTAAATAAAAATTAAAGGAAAAAAGACTGCACTGCGTAGAGAACCATTAAACAAACGTTTTTATCCTCACCCAAGGACATTTTTTCATTGCTTTGAGAGAGAGGAAGGCGTTGCGGGGGTGGGGGAGAGACATCAATCAGCTGCCTTCTCATACATGCCCTGATCTGGTATTGAACCAGCAATGTGGGTACATGCCTGGACTTGGAAGAGAACCTGCGACCTTTCGGTCTACTGGACAATGCTCCAACCAACTGAGCCACACCCGCCAGGGTGAAAACCATTTTTAAAATAATTAAAACAAGACGACAGAGAACGCTATTCACCATGTTATGAGGACAATTTATATGATTTTACTCTTCTCAAAAGGAGAGTATCCTAAAAAAATTCACTCTTAAATTACAATCTCCATAGCAAGTAAATAACCGTTCATATCTTAAAAATTACTCATTCAACAAAGCAGCATTTCTGGATTCAATGATGCATGTTGCAGGAACTCTCTACCCAATTTAGTAACAACGTGTTCATTCACACTCTGCATTACATGTAGTCAATAAACCCGCTTCATAGTGAACACACACGTTACATCTTAGTGTTATGTCTATTATATCTATTAGTGTTGCCAGTGTAACACTTAGAAAATCTGCAACAAATATTAAATTATAAATTGTTCATTAGGATAAGAAAATGTAATGACATGACCAGAAAATGAAATGGAAAGTATAGTTTTGAGTGAATATTAAGAAATCGTCAAGTTTAGCCTCCAACTCCCATTAAGACTTACAACTAGTAATTTGCAAGAAACATATATGTTTAATAGCATCTCCCAGGTTTTAAAAACAATGCTCCAAAATCTCATTGTCCACAAAATTGTTATCTCCCAGCATCTTGTGGTCTGACCGTAAAAAAATAAAGGGAAAGCAATGATTTTTTCCACACCCTAGAAACCAGGAGCATAAAGGAAGACCGACGAGGAGGTGGCTCTGCCGGCCCCACACAGGACTGCCTGACTCGAAGTCGAGAAGGCACAGCGATGGGGACTCCCAGGCACTCACTGACCAGGGAGGTGACCAGGCTAAACATCCCAGCGCTGCCGTACGCCACCAGCAGCGAAATGTCCCCAAGACAGTTACACTTATATCTTGTGTACTTCTTTCAATTTGCCTAAACGACTCCTGACTGCAACTCAAGTGCCAATAACTTTGGTCTGATTCTTTCATTTAAGTATCTCTATCAACTGGTAACACCCATCAAACAAAAATATATAACCTACTTTTCTTCTCTCTAGGTTAGAGAATTTCAATTCTTTAAACTTCTCTTATCCTAATAACTCCCTTTAAGGTCCAATACTCAAACTCTCCAAATCCCTTTCAGTTGTAGTATTTCAAGTCAGATGTCTTAGTTGCCCTTTATGGGGAAGGACTGGGGGTGGGAGGTGGGGGCGGGTGGGGCAGGGGGGAGTCGAGGTGGGGAAATGGAGACAAATGTATCTGAACAACTTAAAAAAAAAAAGTAGTCCTTTATCAATGCGAATATGGGTAAATATTAAGGAAAAGTCAAGAATGTACTTAAAATGAAGCTCTTTTATATTAGAATTCAGGGTGCAGCTTATAGTAATAAATACACACCACAGTAATAATGGGGGAAATAAAGCAGGTGCCAAAACTCCCACTTTGGCATCAACTCAAGGACTATCCTAGGTAAACTATTTTTCTGTCAAATTATGTATCCGTAAGTAGACACTTAATTTTAGATGGACTACAATATGGCTTGTCACCAAATCTAAATAAACTATTTCTAATTACATTTTATCTGAGAGATAGAGTAGAAACAGGACAGCAACAGCCCTGACTGGTGTGGCTCGGCGGGTGGGGTGTCAGGAGCTGGTTCGATTCCCAGTCAGGGCACAAGCCTGGGTTGCGGGCCAGGTGCCCCCTTGGAGGCGGTGCAAGAGGCAACCGATCGAAGTTTCTCACATCAACATCAATGTTTCTCTCCCTCTCTTTCTCCCTCCTTTCCCCTCTCTCTAAAAATAAATAAAATCTTTAAAAAGAAGAGAGAGAACAGGAAGGTAAAAGCAGGAAGTTTACACAGAAAAATATGAGAGGAGTACAGGAAAAAGCAAAGGATGTAGTAAACAAAGTCCAACAAAGAGAAAGTTCAGAGCTTGATTTTCGTACGGCAGGTGATGATAAACCAATTAAAGGCAAGAAAAGGTATTCTGACATCAGAATATATGACTCCCGTGGGAAATCTGTGCCCAAAGAAAGCGATGTCAGGCCCAAGGACGGCTGGGTGTCTCACTGAGCCACCTGGCTAAGAGTACAGAGGAAAATGAACACAATGCCCACTGAGGTACAGGGACTTCTTTAGGAAAAGATCAAAAATATGAGTAAGAAAATGTAGGAGAGAAAAAAATTCTCTCTGACAAATGTAAATGCGTAAGCAGTGAGTGGATCAGCCAACTATAGAGCGAGTACACAAAGGTTAAAAGGCAAAAGTAGAAATCATGTGTAATTACAACAATAAATTGAGGGATACACAAACACACATACACACACACACGAGGTAAAAAAAATCCTAGCAAAAACATAAACATGGAGAAGTGAGTAAAAACTGCAGTGATTTTATATGTTCAAATTAAGTGACCATCAAGTTAAAATAGCTGACTACCAACATCGCTTGGTATATATGAAGCACATGGTAACTGCAAACCAAAAGTTTACATGAGACAGACAAAAAATAAAGAGAAAGGAATCCACACATGGCACTACAGAAAGTCATTAACACACAAGAGAGCGAGAATGAAAGAAACAATAAAAAAACTATGAAATAGGAATAAACATATAAGTATTGATGACTTTAAATGTAAATAGACTAAGTGATCCAATCAAAAAATGGGCAGAGGACCAGAACAGATACTTCTCCAAAGAGAATATAGAGATGGCCAACAGACATAGGAGAAGATGCTCAACATCACTAAATATCAACATCACTAAATATGAACTTTAAAACCACAGAGAGAGATCGCCTCACACCTATCAGAATGGCTATCGTCAATAAATTAACAGACAACAAGTGCTATTGAAGATGTGGAGAAAAGGGAGCCCTCATGCACTGTTGGTGGGAGCCACTGTGGAAAACAGTATGGAGTCTTCTCAAAAAATTAAAAATGGAACTGCCTTTTG